CTACATCTTCGTCTCCGTTAACGACTTACTACAGACTGCACTTGTAAGCTCCTCCATATCGCGCGCCATCGACCATTGTGCTGTCAGCACGTCCCAAAAGTACTACAGGCTCATAACTGAGATATTGCGCGCATACAGCCACCTCACCTCTGCTCTGATCACTATATCCATCCGCGCCGCTTTCAAAAAATCAATTTCAGTATAAGCCCAGGATGGACGTATCTGACCTCGAAAGCTATCGAGAGCAGCTGACGCAAGTCATCGATGCGCTGTCGCTTGATCCTAACAGGCAAGACCTTCTGGATCTCAAAGCAGAGCTGGAGAACCTGATCACCCTCACGGAGGAGCTGGTTGCACAGCAGCAGAAAAGTAGCAGCAGTTCCGCTGCTAATGGCAAACCAAAAGCGCCACTAGGTTCGTCGACATCATCATCAGCAGCAGCAGTCGCGGTGGCGAATGATCTCTCCAGCACGGGCTATTCTAGCGGCGTAGCTCCTCCTGTTTGTGCATCCTTCTCACAATCAGAAAGATTCAAATTCTCGGCCGGCGACGAATGCTTGGCGAAATATGCTGTGAGTGGCAGGCCTTCTCAATGAATGCACAGCTTGTGTCCACATTGCTGACTATTCTCATCCGCTCGTGACTGCAGGGTGACAGTAAATGGTATCCGGCACGCATCACTTCCATCGGCGGCTCAGCGGTAAATCCAGTATATTCGATCGTATTCAAAGGGTACAACAACACCGAGCAAGTTTCCTCCGCTGACATCAAGCCGACAAAGGAGGCACTCGCAAAGCGTGCTGCGCCACAGCTAACGCCAGAGGAGGAAGAGCTGCAGGCAAAGAAGAAAAGGAAGGCCGAGAAGCGAGTGGAAAAGACACAGAGCAAAAACGTCGAAGCAAAGGAGAAGCAGGCTGCGTGGCAAAAGTTTGCTACCAAGGGTGCAAAGAAGGGCTACGCCATCCCCGGCGCAAAAGGAAAAAGCATGTTTGCAACGCCGGATGATCCGCTCAGCAAGGTCGGAGTGGTGGGTGCTGGTAGAGGCATGACGTCTACAACACAGAGGACGAAGCACATCTATCACGAGGAGCGATGATCAGCAGCAGCTATCCTTTCCTCCCCCGTTGTCCTACTCTTCTAGCCCTCTCGCCTTTGGCGACAAAAAACCAATCAAGTCCTCCCAAGTCCACGACGCACTGATAAATCAGATGGGTCATGCTCACCTGAAAGCGGATGCTGCGCCTTTTATCAAGCATCGCTGACCCTCTCCTTCTCTTATGGTGCTTGGGCAAACGGACACTCTAGAAGATGCTGCACGTATATATAGCCAGCATCCTGGCGCTCCTCGTTACTCTCTGCATAGTGGTTTCTCCCAAAACGCCGGAAACGGCGCCTCGAGACAGGGTGTATTGTAGTGTAGTTGCGAGTGAGCTTTAAAGGATGGGTCAGTCTATATACAAAAGTCATCAGAGATAGAAATTCCTTCTAGAAACGCTCATCTTGGGCTGGAAGTGAAATCGGCACAAATGTGCAGCGTCAGCACTGCAGAAATGCTAAACCAAATTTCCATGCAGGACTCACCTTCCATTCGAATTCAAGGCCGTCCACAACTTCATCGCCACGTTGTGCCTTCTTGACCTTTGATGTCGCAGACGCACTCTCACCAACATCCATCTCGCGCAGCGCTTCTGCCTCGTCTGCCTTCTCGCCCTTGGGATCCACACATTCGCCTGTGCCATCGAAGTCGACGATGCCGTCCCACTGGCCCGCGCCTTTGGGCAGACCCTTCTTGAGACTTCTGAGCTTGAGCGTGAAACGCGGCCCGATCTCCTGCAGCTTGGCTTTGTCCTGGCTGGCGAACATGTACCGATGCCGTCGGAAGAAGATGTAGTCTCTCTGGTTGTGCGCCGTCACCACCTGCCGGCCTTCGAGCTGCGGGATCTTGGGGAAGAGCGACTGGAAGACGCCGCCAACGGTGTGGCCGAGCGTGGTGGTGAAGTTGTTCAGGATCAGCTCGGGTGTGTGCGGCGTCGGTCGCGCGTGGCCGTAGATCTCCTTTCCAATTGAGATGGACGTCAAACGGAAGAAGGCAGTTGGGCCCTTGGGCAGGCCGATGATTGTTAGATAGACCGGCAACTTGGATGACGCATCCTCGCCGATAACGACCATGCCGTTGTACCCGCGCTTACGCGCCCACCCGGCGATCTTGCCTAGCCCGACACCCTTTGCTTTTGCCCGCGAACGGTATTCGGCACCGGGAAAGACGTTGAGGAGCTCCTTGATGAATTGGCGCGTGCGCTCGAAAGGATGCGATCGCGCATTGAGCGAGTTGAGGTGCGGCGATGTGGCATTGTGGGGTAACGCGGTCGTAATAAGCAGGGCAGGAGGAGCATGCGGGTCCATGTCCACATCTGAGTCTTCCACGTCTTCTGCACCATCTTCGATGTCACTTGCGTCATCGTACTCGTCCGCATCCGCGTCTACACCTTCCGCGTCAGCATCTTCGGCAGCGCCGTCCTGCTTGGCCGCCTCATCATCCTCGCTCTGTCGTTCCTCCTCATCTTCATCGCTTCGGCCTTCATCACCACTGTCCAAAGTCATCGCAGACGTTGAGGCGACAGCATTAGTGGGCCCTCGCCCGGGGTGCGTATTCGGGGCGTTGAGGATGGTTGGGTTGAACTCTCTTGTATTCTCGATGGTCCGGGGGACGTTCTTGGCCAAGCGTTGCGCCTTCTTCCTTGCTCCTTCCTCTCCACCCAGAACCTCCTCCTTGGCCTGCGTCTTCCTCCGCAGAAGCTTCTCCTTGTTCTTTTCCTTCTTGTACGCTCGAACGAGCTCTTGACGCTTGGCTTTGTTGCCGACGTGCGTCACGTTGCCGCCTTTGGCGCTGGTGCGTGGCGCCTTGACCATCTTGGAATGCCCGATCCTGAGCGCTGAAGGGCTTTCACTCTGCTTTTCTTCTTGAATGACTTCTACTGCGGTTTTGATTTACCAGATGCTACCTTGGAATCAACACATTACGATCGCTGTGTAAGGAGGAAGCGATTGAAACCTCGAAGTTGGCAGGCAGATAGCAAGCAACTCTCATAGGTCGGGCCAGTCTCACATTCGAATGTATTGGAGACGGACGACTCAAATTCACAAAACACGGAATACGGAACTCAAGGGTTAGTTTCCTTTTTTTCTTTTCCCCTCGCGATTTGCCAACGGTGGCAAAAGAAAGCGGACTAACGTATGACAAGAGTTGCATTCGGTGCAACCTCAAAAAAGCTTTTGGACTCCAGCTTTACTGCTGGTTCGCTCTTTTCATCAGCATCCCAAAGTGCGTTGTGGTTCTTATTACCCCATACAAGCGCCGCAGCTCCCTCCCACTTTGCGACAGCATCATCGGCAGCAAGAATACAGGAACGCAGCGGGGCCCAGGCACTGCTGCAAAATTCAAACATGTCCGTAAGAAGGAGAGGTCCGACACTGCCGGAGTCGCTCAACGAAGAGTTGGGTCTCAAGCCTCGACCTCAGTCATCGCCATCCTCGCCAAATCACTTCTCGGGTGGTGATAGCAACGGTGCTCAGTGGGGGGGCCGAGTTCTCGGCCGCAAAGATGCGAGAAAGGCCGCCCGCCAGGCCAAGAGGCAGAAGGCACAGCCCGCCTCTAGCTCTGCCCGGCCTGGCACTGCTTCGGGGCTCAAAGTGATCGGCAAATGCATCAGCGCTCAGCGAGGTCGCATGAAGGGTGAAACGAGACCCGCACCCGCTGACCGACGGGCTACAATTAATGCTTCCAAGGCTGTTGCACATTCGGCTAGTGAAGGGCAGCGACTGCATTTCGACAAAGGAAAATCCAAAGAGACCAGCAAGACCAAAGTCCAGAGCCCCAACTCGCTCACAACGAGTGAGCCTCCAAGGAAGAAGCGAAAGCCCGACGCAGGTCCCCTAAAACCCGAAGATTCGCAAAGTGATATCATTCCAAGCTCGAATCACAGCCAACGAAAGAAGATCGGATCCGAGACGGTCACGCCTCTCCAGCGTTTGCTTGCGCGGTCTCAAGGCGCAGCTTCATCCTCGCTAAGCTCCTCCCGATCAAAGTCAGTCACAGGGTCGGCCTCAACATCTAGCTCGCTTTTACCGGGAAAAGCAAGCCTGAAACGCAAAACGCGCTCGAAGATGACACAGACGGAGCGTGATGAGGAGGACGAGATCCGGTGGCTGGAAGCCAAGCTAGGCTTTGGACCTGACAGCAAGAAGCGTAAGCGCTCAGGAGCTTCTAGCGGCAAAAGTGAAGACGATGTCGGGCCGGAAGAAGATGGGCTAGATGGTGCGTCTGTTTGGACTCGATGGAAGGTGTTCAAGCTGTCTGATTTTCTTCACCTCCGCATCCTCCAGAGCTGCTGGACCACCTTGACAACTTCCAAACCGGCATGTTTAGCGACGCTGAAGATGAAGCGTCCGATGAGGAAGAGGACGGAGCAGATGAATCTGACAGTTCCGAGGAGGAGGACGGTGACGCTGTAGACGACCTTGATGGTCTTGACGATGATGACGGCAGTGACGAAGGTGCTGGCTTCGACCTGGATGAGGAGGAGGGGGGCGACGAGGATGAAAATGGGATAGATACCGTATATCTGCAACATTTCCAGCTAGATTCTAACGTCAGCGCCTCAGAGGTCGCATCTAGCAGGGTGGCCGATGGTGACGAAGAGGAAGCACCCGCTATAGATGATGGCGGTTCCTCAGCGGTAGCGGGGAACCAAGCGGCACCACAGGGTCGTTACATACCACCAGCTCTTCGCAAAGCGATGGAGGCATCTGCAGCGCAAGCGAACGCAGGAGCAGATTCATTGGACGATCCTGCTACGGCTGGCCTTCGCCGGCAGCTCAAAGGTCTTTTGAATCGGATGGGTGAAGGCAACCTTGAGACGATCCTCACTCAGCTCGAAGGGATCTACCGCTTCAATAGTCGGGCCATCGTCTCAGAGACGCTCACGCGCCTCATCCTCGACACGATCACCGCCAGCACCAACTTGGCAGACACGTTTGTCGTACTGTACGCCGCCCTCATCGCCAGCCTGCACAAGGTCATCGGCGTCGAATTTGCCGCAGGGTTCGTGCAGACGCTCGTCGATGAGCTGCTGTTGAACTACGACGCCGCCGGCAGAGCGCTCGATCCATACGATGACCCGCAGAGCAAGAAGGCGCTCAACTTGACCAGCTTGCTGTGCGAGTTGTACAACTTACAGGTGGTCGCCTGCCCGCTCGTCTATGACCTCATTCGCCATTTCGCGGGTGCACACACCAATAGCAATAAACGCGCCGCCGGGGGGATTACAGAGCTTAGCGTCGAGTTGCTGCTGAAGATCGTCAAGATATGTGGCGCGCAGTTGCGCCATGACGACCCAACGTCGCTGCGCGATATCGTTGATTTGATCCAGCAGTCTGCAACTGGCACTGCCAACAAGCTTAGTGCTCCTTCCACTGCCGAGCAAAGTATGTCCTCGCGTAGCCGATTCATGCTTGAGCGCTTGGCAGACCTCAAGAACGCGAAAGGCTCCGCGTCCAAGTCAGCAGCTGCGAACAATAGCGCAGCGACCGAGAGCTTGAACCGGATGAAGAAGTTCCTCGCTGGCCTCGGCAAAAAGCGCACATTGAGAGCACATGACCTGTTGCGCGTCACCCTGCGTGACTTGCTCGATGCGGAGCGCAAAGGAAAATGGTGGCTCGTTGGCGCTGCTTGGACCGGCCATGGAGACCAGGAAAAAGACCAGGCGACAGGGGTCACGGCAGCTCGCCCGCTCTCGGGTAGCAGCGTAACTGCCGTAGTCAAAGAGCGGGGCGACAGCGAAGCCACTGAGACCGAGCGAACGCGGCAGAAGCTCTTGGGGTACGCGCGGACGCACGGCATGAGCACAGAAACGCGGCGCAGCATCTTCCTCGTGATTATGACCAGCGAGGATTTCGTTGATGCAGCGCAGAAGCTGCTCGAGCTGCGTCTCAACGAGGTGCAGCGGCGAGACATCATCCGTGTTCTGCTGCAATGCCTCGACATGGACGAAGTGTACAATCCGTACTACGCGCTCATCGGCTGGCGGCTTGCTACCGATTCGCATAGCACGCGCTTTACTATGCAGTATGCTCTATGGGACTTTCTGCGGAGCATCGGAGAGAGCGGCGTCGCGGGACGATCGAGGGCAGAGGCGGCTGCGGAGCACGGCGCAGATGAAGATGGAGAGGATGTGAGTGAAAGGAAATTGGCTCACGTAGCCCGGGCGTACGCGTGGTGGATTGCGAAGGAGGCACTCAGTCTTAACATTCTCAAGGTGAGCATATTGAATGCGCATTGAGAGGAAGCGCACACATCGCTAACATATGCATCTGCAACTTCAGACCGTGGACTTTACTTCTCTCAAACCTAAGGGCACGCTCTTTCTTCAATTGCTGTTGGTCAATGTCTTCCTCTCGACCCAGTCCGCTGCGCCTTCGCTCGTGACTTTTGTCAAGAGCAAGGACGCCAACTCGCAACCTGGTGCGGGGGACCGCAAGAGCCTCGAAACATGTTTGCTCAAAGGCACAGCAGGGAATCCGGACCTCGCTCGTGGACTGCTTTACTTTCTGCGCAAGGACTTGGGCAAACGAGATGTCAAGCGCATCCTCGGCAAATCGGCTGCCAAGGCGGCTAGCCTGCGCCTGACGTGGGCTCTCGAGGTCGCCGAGGAAATTTTGGAAGTCGGAGCCTCAATCGATTTGGCAATGTAGCACAGCATTCTTTTCAAGCACATTGGTACCTTACTCTCGGTCAAACAACCATCCCTTACGCCTGAAGAGACACTGTCGAATGGTTCATATGGTTAGTCGCCAGAAGTGGCATTCAATAAGCACACATGCTGTTCACTTGCACTCACTCAGGCTGCCCACGAATGTCAAAATGAGACGCTGTCGTAGTTCGACAATGTCCTCTGGCACAAGGAAGATGAGCGCGCCGAGCTTTCTCGCGATCGAGATAGCCAATTTGGCGTTCATCTTGCACTCCTCTTCGGTGCAACCTTGTGTGACAAGTGAGTAGTCGACGATGCCCTTGCGCAAGGCGTCGAGTAAGTCGAGGAAGAAGACAGCATTCTTGAGGCCGGGGTCTTTGAAGCTGCGCATGTTGCTAGTCTTTCCTGCCGCTTTGACGATTCCGTTTGCCCACTGCACCATGTCGACATCCGAGACGCCTTTGCCCGATTTTCCAAGGCTGGCGAGGGTCTTGGAGATGTTGAGCCTCATCAGCTGCCACACCAAGCCGAGGACGAGCGTCTTTGTACCGTCGACGATATCCGCGCCCTGAATGCCGACGATGCGCATGTCGTTGGCCTTGGCGAGATCAACCGCGTAGTTGGTGTTCTCGACCATCTTGAAGCGTGACAGGTCTTGGCCATCCTTTGGTTTGCTGACGCGCTTCCAGATCACGCTGCCAGGAACCACTTTGTCGAAAGCTTGCAGGATGATTGTGCCGTCCTTGAGGTCCTCGAAGAGGTTATACACGCCCGGGTCTACGTCCAAGCTGTTGAGCCAAAGCGTGAACACGCGGGCTTCGCGCTCGCCTTCCGCGTCAAAGTCCTCGATCTCCACCGGTGGCGCTTCTTCGAGCGGCTCCAGGCACGGCCATGTGTTGAACAAGTGCGCGACAAAGGCCAGGTTCAGCTTTGGATTGCCGGCCACCATGGCGCCTGGGGTAAGGTATTTTCGGCAGCCGATAGCATCCGCGCGCTGCAGCACCATCTCGGCTCTTTGGTGCGGATCGCGTTCCTGCAGCGGCCTGCGATCGCACGACTCGGGCTTAAGCTGGGAGAGGAGGACCGTGTAATTTTCTCCATCTGATACGTCTTTCGAGAAATTGTTCACCCTCCGGTTCCAGTTGGCTGCCTTGAGGTGATAATTGAACCAACGAAGCAGAATCTGGTCCGGCGGTAGGCGCAGAAAGTCTTCCAGAGTCTCGTCATCTTCTAACAGCCTGTACAGCTCTGGATGGTTTTTGAGATCGATCTTGCTGAGAAGACCCCTTCGGATAATCTGCCAGATGAGGCCAAGAATGAGGTGCTCCCTTCCATCGATTAAATCTTGTGGCCCAATGTTCACGACAGAGCATCCGATGGCCTTAGCTGAGGTGATAACGATGTTATTGTTCTCAGTCATCTGGAACGCATTCGGTGGCTTGGTGCCTTTGCCGATGTTGAGAACACGCTCGTCGATCGTGTCCGGGACTGCATCGTTGATAAGCTTGCAGAGAATGAGACCATCACGGCATTCGTCAAATAGCTGGAATGTGTCCATCGGGATTGGCAAGCGGTTCCCAATCGTTGGATCTCCGGACAGGTTGGAGTTGATATGCCGTGTGAACTCGGACCGCTCGTCCTCATTGATGGTGTGCTGAGTTGAAGCATTGGCACCCTTAACGGTGACCTTGCCTTTGGTCACGACACCAGCTCCGACGTTACGACCTGCGCGCAGCTTTGCCATTAACTGGGGAAATCGAATGCGGGGCAGCGATGAGTGAATGGAACGGTCGCCCTGGACTGCGCAGTCAAGCCGACTTACATCGACAAAGTCATCCAGCTCAACCCGGCCACTGCTGTCAATGGCGACCTCCTTGAGCGTCTCTCGGACCTGGTCATACGAAGCCTCTTTGCTCTCTTCCATCGCCTTGATGACGTCCTGCCGTGCAACGCTGCCATTTTCCTCCACGTCGATGGCGCGGAACTTGGAGATGAGGCCCATCATCTCCTCCTGGGAGCTGTGCGGGAGCCAGGGTAGATGTGTCAGCGATGAGGGTGAGCAACATTAAACACGACGGGTAAGAGGGGATGAGAAATTCTGCTAGGAATCCATCCAATTCGCTCACGACAGAGGGAACCCCGCCGTGAAGCTGCATCTCGAGGAATGCCTCGGGGCAAGCCGCAGTATGTTAAAGGGATGGGGCAGATCGACAATCACAGACCTGGCATCACAGGAGACGACGAGCCAACCCATCACCTGAGCAGCCTGCAGATGCGGCAGCCCTCTGAAGCAACTTTTGGGTGGTAATCACCTTTCCTGAGGGGCACGAAGACGTGCATGCGCACTTAAAACGCTAGCGAGCTCCCGAGGGACTCACAATTGAGGATACTTCCTCTGAAGCTTGATCGCCTCCATCTTGAACGATTTGTCCTTGTCAATTTAAAAGCACAGTAGCAGTTTCCGTCGCGCCAACAAGCTCGGAGTCTGCTATACCTAATGCCGCAGGCATGTGTGTGTTTGGGATGCTCAAAATGATGAATATGAGCGGTAAACTATATACATGTAATAGTTGGAGGTGCATATCGATCACGTTCAATCTAACCGCGATGCCCGTTAGCCCGTCGGCGCTCTCCAGTGAAGGGAGACTGTCCTAGTGCCGTATGCTCGACTCAGGATGCCTTATACACGCAGTCCACCTTCAATTCTTCTCTAGCTCTTCATCCTCACATTCGCACCTTCCTTCGCCACCAAGCAGTGAGCAGGATCGACAACGGGGCAGCATCAGCGAAGGATTCGAAAATGTCTTCAGCAGCAGCAGCAGCAGCAACATCGCCAGCGGGCCAGGCAGTCGGCAAGGGCCAGAGGGTCCAGGTGACCGAGCAGGAGATCGTGCAGATCTACCAGGGAAAACGCAACGAGCTACAGGCTCTTGCACAGAAGATCGGCGAGCTCGAGGGCGAGGCGGATGAGCACAAGTGAATAACACGATGCATACGTTTCTCTGGACGCGCTTTCGAAGGAGCATCAGCTGACGGAAATCACATCGCTTCTTCCTTGGTCGCACATCTTTGCCTCCAAACAGGCTCGTAATCGAAACACTGCTAGAAGCGCGGGCCAAGGACCCGTCTCGCAAGTGCTTCCGACTGATCGGCGGAGTCCTTGTCGAGCGGACAGTTAAGGACGTGCTTCCGGCCCTGACAGGGAACAGCGACGGGGTATGTCTTGCATTGAGCAGCTTGTCGTACCGGGTCGGCAAAGGAAGATACGAGTGTTGTTGACCCTCTGCCTCCCCACTGCTCCGTACATAACAGTTAAAACATATGCTGGAGCTGCTGGTCAAGCAGTACGCCGAAAAGGAGAAGGACCTGCAAGAATTCACACGAGAGTATGGCATGACGAACGCTTCCGCTTGACACTCCTGTGGCCTCGATTCGGGGCTGAGCAACGCCAGACCTATGTTTTGTGCAAAAAGCGAAAGAGCATGCCATGCCACCGAAAGCTGCCACCCACCCTTCTCTTCCTTGCCTTGCAGGGAGAACCGGTAGCGGTGAACATGAGACAGACTGCGTGTGCGAGGAGTGCATAGCCAGGCTCCTTTTCATCTCGGGAGCACTCGCTTTGCAACAAGCTCATCTTACATACTCCGACTGCCTTCGCGGGAATGAGCGCATAGCTGCTACTGCAAGAGGCAGCAATATTGACCCGCCTCGCCTCCCTCGGGCGTGAGCCGTCCCATGCTTTTGAAATGGCAGGGTACACAAGGGCCCGCGCACGCGCACGCTTGCGGAAGTGAGGATGTAGTGAGAATGACAAAAGTAGACATGCAAATGTGCGAGAAATTGCGAACTACAATGGAGGGCACGTGTGTTGGAGAATGCAGAAAGGAACCCCTGGTTTGGCAATGTTGGTACAAATGGAGTGAGAAAGCTAATAGAGCAGAGGGAAAGAAAAAACGAACACCATCAAAGCTGGATATGCTGCGATGCCAATGCCCGATACAATGCTAATTGCGATGCTGGATGGCGTACTCGCGCCCAATTGCCCCCTTGCGGATAGATGGATGTTCTTGCTTGAGCCCGGTTGAACAGGAAAAATGACAAGATTTTTTGCTTGAGAACCTTTGTAAGCTGTGCGTTCGCCCTGACGAATGGGAGCATTTAGAGATGCATGGTCGAATCAAGCAGTTCTTTGCCCGTGCATAGACTTGGGTCAGCTGGTTGCGATAGGAGACATGCAGAGAATGTATATTGGGGTTGTGACAAATTCAGAGCCGGAGCTGATAAACGGAGAGCCGTGCGTATTGCGCGTTGGTCTTCGTCGGAGATGCACCATGAACGTGCCTTGTCCGCCCCGCTTCAAAAGCCGACGAGCTCATCGCGCTCGTGATGCTCTGTGACAGGCGGGGGCAAGGGCGCATACATGTACCGCCCGAGCGCCTTGCCTGCGAGACGGGATGACTGCCTGGCGGCAGCGCTACGATTCCATGCGGTGGTACTGCCGTCGAGTCCCTTGACGGCAAAGGCTTCGAGCGCGAGCGGCATCGACATGTCGCTGCCGAATGCGCCGGCGCCGATCGTGGCGCCACCAGGCAGGCGCGCAAACGGCGAAGGCGATGACAGCGCAAAGGCATAGTACGGCAGCGGTGAAGCGGGCGAGAGCTCGCCGAGGTGGCGCGCGTAGTGCCTGACGCCGACGCCGGCTAGGTCGATGACATCGTTGGCGGCGCACGAAGGCGCGTATGTGGGCGAAGCGGAGACGGGCCACTTGATGCCGTCATCGCCTTCATCAGCTGCAGCAAACGCGGCGGAGGCAGGCAGGCCGGTGATGGCCATTTTGTCCTCGACGCCCGGCGCTTCTGGTCCCATGTGGCAGTGACGCATATCATCGCCTGCTTCAGCATCAGGCGTAGCAGGAGCAGCCGAATGGTAAGCCTGGTCGTCGCCGTACGCATCGTGGTCGTCATCTGTAAACGAGTAGAGCGACGGCGTGTGCGAAAGGAGCGAAGGCATGCTGAGCCAGCTGGAGATGCGGCTGACAGGCACACTGGGCGCCTCGGTCCACTGAATCATGCCTGAATGCGCTGTGCGGTCATCTTCGTCAGCGGCGTCCTGCTTCCAAGCGCCTGGGAGCGACGTCATGCCAAAGATCCTGGAGAAGGCGTATGAGCTGCTGCGCGCGCGCGTCGGCGCATCAGCATGCGCGGTGCTGCCAGCGCTGACGGTGGAGCGGCGATGGTGTTGGTGGCGCGCGAGTGAGCGGCAGCGGAGCTGCTGCGCTTCGAGTAGGAGGCCCTCGGGCGTCGACGCCGAAGGTGTACCGCGCAGCATGCCCATCCTGCGGCGGATGGGCGATTCGGCCGTTGCAGTGGTCGGCGCTGAGGGTCGGCGCAGCGCATCCGATGTCGTAGATTGCACGCGTGCGGGGTCCGTAGCGCTGAGGGCAGAATCGAAGAAGAAGAGCACCTTGCCAAAGTTGCTGAAGAACGGGAGCGTGCTGCTCTGGATCGCGCGCGCGAGCCGTGCCTCCTCCTGCTCGTACGTCTCTGCTCTGGCTATAACACTGGCCAGCGGCTGCGGCCGTGGCCGCGAGTGCGCGCCGGCAGCGAGCGGCGTGCGCCGTCCGCCTGGCGAAGCGCTCATGCTGCCTGTATCTGTATCTGTACCTGCGCCATCGCCAGCGTTGCGCGCCGTCGCATCTGCATCTGCATGTATCACTTCCTGCCCACCACCACTAGGGGCGGTGGAGGCGCGCTGGTGCGCCACGGCTGCCGCGACAGATGCAGCGGCGGTGGCTGACGCGGTGGAGGAGCTGCCCCGCATGCGGAGAATTGCGAGAGCAAGCTGCGTCTCTGGATCCTCGTCGCCAGGGTCGCCATGGCACGATCCATCCGACTCGAGCAGTGATGCGCTGCGTTTCGTGCGCTGCTGCGAGCCCAACACCGATGCAGATGCAAACGCAAATGGCGAGGTGCGCCGGCGCTTGCCGGCGCTACCGGCTCTGCGCGCGCGGCCCTCGCCGGCATCCGCACGCAGCGCACCCTGATCGTCTCCACCGCCAGCACCCTCATGCTCTACCTCGCCGGCGGCGGTAGCGGCAAGAAAGCGACGCAGCGGTAGCCCGTGTGCGTCCAGGGGTGATGCGCCTGGTGGCAAGAAGAGTTGGCAGAGCGAGCTGGGCATGGCCCGCAGGTTGCTCTTGGTAGCAGTACCGCAATGCTCGATTTCAGCGCTAGCAGCGCCATCAGCACCACCGCGCGGGGCTTTTTCGTGCTCTTTCACTTCCGTTTGTTCTTGCTCTTCGCATTCTTCCGCATCGGTCGTCTGCTGGTCCGCATCGATCTGAGCGCCAATCGGCGCGGTCGTCAGCGTCTGCGCGACGAGGCTGACGGACGGTAGTAGGAGCGGTTGGCAGGTGTCAATGCTCAGCGGCTGCGCGGGCGCGAGCGGGAAGAATGACAGCGGGGTTGCCACCGCCGCCGATGGGGCACCGGCTGGCGCCGAGTGTGTGCGCAGGCGACGGCCGGCGTGGCGCATTGCTGCGATTACCGTCGGCGTCGGCGAGTCGGCCCGTCGCTCGTGGCAGGCTACGTGCAGTGATGATCCGGGTCCAGAAGAAGGAGGAGGAGATGGGGAGGAAGAAGAGTGAGAGGGGGAAGGGTGCGGGCCCGCGCTCCTGCTCTTGTTCCTGTGCGCTTGACGTCGGCTGTCACTGCCAGCCTGCTTCAGATGCGCAGAGGCAGAAGAAGAAAAAGACGAAGACGGCAGCATGGTTACGGGCGTGCTTGGCTGAGTATGGCCCCCGCGCGGCGTGCCTGAGGCGCTGCTGCCGCCGCCGCCGCTTGCTGCCGTACGGGCGTAGGCGCCGTGGATGTGCGGCGATGCATCATAAGCTGTGACAGCTCTGCTGGACACATCGCTATCCTCTCCGCCTATCGTTGCTGCCGCTGCGACCGGCGGCATGCAGGTGCTCGTGCGTTCGATGGGCGGTGCGAAGCCCGACAGCAGCGGCGTGGCCGTCATGCTGGTCGGTATGCGCTCGCTGCCGCCGTTGCTCCTGCTGCGAAGACGGCGCCGCGCCTGCTGCGGTGCCATGCTGGCGACCGCAGCGGAGGGTTGAAAGGGGCGGGCTGACAGCGGATGTGAGACCTAGGGGTGGTGGTAGCAGTAGCAGTGGCGTTACTGTTTGTGTATTGTAGGCGTCCATCGAAGAGGACGGTACATGTGGGACACAGGCCAGGCGGGGGAAGTCGCAACAAGAAAAGAAGAGTAGGGTGTACGTGTTTATTTGTGTCAGTGCGACGAATGGAAGCATAGCAACAGCCAGCACGGACGGGCCCAACGACACACGCACCTGCAACAGCACACGAAAACGCGGGCGTGGCTGCGAGCGCGCGGATTGAGGTGCGCTTGTTGCCCTTGCGGCGATGAGCCGAGGCAAGAGGCAAGTTGTGGTCTGGGACCTTGGACCTTGGGCTTGGATGACAGACGAGTGCGAGGCTCGCTCCTTTTTGTACCGATGGTGGTGGGCCTCTGCTGGTAATGAAGAATTCGTCTGGTCTGTCTGTATAGATGTCTTTCTGTATGGATGCTGATGATATGCCCTTTTGTGCGAGAGGGCAGCGGTGCTTATACCTCGCTTTCTCGAGGCTGGCGGAGCGGGGCGGGACCTGCTGGAATACTGGATGTTTGTTACTTGCTGGCACACACACAAGCACACATGCGATCACCACAATGCGCCCCGCAGGCTCGACATGGTGGCGAGGATGATGGCGATGGGGACGGCCACAGGAGCCATCCAATTGCCATGCGAGCTGCTTCTTCTGATTCCTGAAGCCGACGGGGACGACGGCGAATGCATGGGCGTGATTGATAAGGGCTGAATTCCGGGGAGAAATTTGGTGTATACACCGGAATGCTGGCCCTAGCTGTGTGCGCGCTGAGTGGAAGGAGAGAGGAGAGGCGCCGAGTGCCCCGTGGTGGGGGGGGATGGGTGATGGTGTGCTGGCCCAGGTATGTGGATGGGGGCCCCGCCTATCGAAATTCAGTAAGAAATTCGGCCAAAAAGGTTGTTTCTCAACGGTAAGCGCGCCGCATGATCGGAGTTAATTACGTAGTCGGGGCATGGTGTCAGAGCAACGACGTGCCACCGCCTCGCTCCTAAAAAGGGTCAGACAAGACTCAACCCGATCCGGATTGCTGGGCTTTAATCTCACACTACGCCTCTTCTCGACAGGCAGCCAGTGCAACAGAGCCGCTGCACACTGAACAGGCCCTATTTATTGCGGCCGACAGTTCTTCTTTCCATGCGCCCGTTCTTCGTCTTGTGCATCGCAGCGACAACAGAAGCACTGCAAAAAATAGAAGGAAAGAGTGAATGAATGAATGGCTCGCTTGCGTTTCCGCTCCAGGCACCCACTCATACACGCACTTCAACACTCATGCACCAGCGGGACAAAGGCTTTTTGCCTTTCTGTTCCACACTTTCGGGGCTGAAACCCCAGAAGACACTAACAGCCCATCCATCCATCATAACAGCAACTATCAGAACCTCGTCAGATACATGGACCCACACAATATCCTGCAGATAGAGATGCTGATGAGCCTCTTGGCTCGCTCGGCAGTCCTTGGACGATAATACATAAAGTCAACACTCCGTGTATGCATGCATGCCTAGGTGTACAACGGGCACCCTATGCTGCGTGGGCCGCCAGTCGTCCGTCCCAGCATCAACAACCAGAAATCTTGAGTCAGTCGTGTCTTCGTACACAAAGAACGTGTGCTCCAAGGGCCAGTCTTGTATACGAGAAACCACCGCCCACCGGGTTCTTCACCTCGCGATCCGCCGCATGTACATACATTGCATTCGTACCTACATACCTATGGTCCCCTTGCGAGCAGATAGGAGAGCGAAGACTATGAAATTGGCAAAGCGCTCCAGTCCATTGGCGGAGCGTTCCAGCTACTGTTGGACCCCTTGGCTCTTTGGACATACATACATACATACATACATACATACATACATACATACATGCATATACATATACATACACATTCACACATATGTACGTAGATGGACCGTCAGCTATGCTGCACTGCGCCAGCACCCAGCGCGGCATTGTGCCAGAGCCAGACGCCACGCTACTGTTCCGAACATGGAAGGCTCAGCTTTAGCACCACGAAAAAGAAACTCTACCCTAAACGGAATAGAACGCAAGTGCAGGTGGGGAGCAAGAGATCTGATGCCCAGCGGCAGCGGCATCTCACCTCATTTCAACCCTTTTCTTGGTCAGCTCAAATCGATTGCATACGTATCTCCGGCAGCTGGACATTTTTGCAATCGATTTGCCCGCCTCATCATCAACACGAAAAGGGACGAGGGGTGAGAGGGATGAAAGACGGAAAGAGAAAAGTGGAGGGGGGGGTAGCCTCGCCAAAGGCTTCTTTCTTCCATCGAAAGATGGAATGCGACGAGGAAGCTACGAGCTAGGTAGCTAGCTAGCTGCATGTCACGACGCCAGGACGTATTCGGGAGCCAGGACAGGAGGAAATGGTTGGCTCGCAGAGAAAAAGAGTGAGGACGGCGGCCCGCGGGTGACTCGGCACAATATTTGGCGGAACACTGCCAATCAATCGACTGACGGATGCCGCGCGAACAATCTGTGCGTCATCCCGTCGAAACGTGGCGCAAATCGAAGACTCTTTTTCCTCCTGATCACAAAGCCTCCTCGGTCGCCTCGTATATCGCTACCGAATCGTACTTCCGTGGGCCACCTTTGGCGGGGGTCATCCGCCCGCTTGTATTGAAGCTTCGTAATCCTGCTGCCGCTAGCGTACCTAGTGGCCGCTGGGGCACTGCAGGGTGCAGAGCCTGTCTATCTCATCGCCAACGCAATCGCGGGAGCTTCATAGTTACAGCTAAACGCACTTCGCTCGTTGTATCGGGCGCATAACGACAGCAAAAGATCTGGTCCAGCAGGGGCCGTCGAGCCTTAGTTGGTACATACATCTCCAGGACGAGTTTACATCATCTTCCCCCTGCTCACGAAGCTTGCAAATGCCGCACTTATCAATGGCGACTCGTCCCTGTGTTGTTTCGTCAGCCCTGTGAGGTGGTCCGGTCGTGTGCATGTCGTTTGCACATGGCCATATGCCAGTATTCGCAGGGCGTACACAGTACTGGCGCCTGCGTGCCGCCTTCCCCATATCAGCCTCACCGCGGTCAGAGCGTCAAGCGGTCCAGGGTTCGATTGAAGGGTGCAAGTCGAGGGATGTAGCGTTGCATGCACATGGACTGGGCACGTCCTGGAATGTGCACAGCCGGGATAGGTGTCGCAGAAAGGGAGCAGCGCGACGCCGAGTGTGCGGACGGAGGTTAAACTGTGCATATTTAGAAAGCCTCGTCCAGTTCCCGTCAATGTGGCATACAGCCTTCTTCCAGCTCCAAATGCCGACCGTGTGCGCCGCATGTGCTCGTAATAAGTGCTTCCATGATTCTTAAAAGCGCATCAGCGAAACTGCCTCAGCATCCTCCTTTCAAGAATCATCGCATCCCTGCACTGCACGTGTCCTGCTCCTCTTTGCGCCGGCCGTCTGGAACTTGTAAGGAGAAATCGAGACAGGAAAGGGCACCGCGGACCGCCGTTGGCTTAACGGATCACCCGATCACCCGCTGCATCACCACCTTCACAAGTGTCGTCCGTCGCACGCGAACACCTCCGCCCGCCGATTGCGCGTCAATGCACAGCTTGCACCCCTTCATGAGAAAGTGACTGCACAGCAGCACACGATGCATATGAGATTCGAACGACGGTCACATGGAGAGGTACATCGGCCAACACCGTCAAATGCGGGGTGGGGTGATGCTGCCCTTCAACGACTGGCTTTCTTCTCCTTGATGAAATCGAGAACAGCATCCGAGCTCTGCCAGAAGGGGAAATTTTGGAGAAGGGGGGCGGGGCGATGCCGTCAGTCTCTCAAGGCTACTGAGGGTTGCATCGCAGGCCCAGTGTTGCAGCGACGTACCTCCTTCGGCTTGACAGAGATCGAGCTCAGCGCAAGCTTGCAGTCCGCGTCGATGACAAAGTGGCTGCAGGTGCGCGCAGAAGTGCCAGCGACGGCAGGAGGAGGAGGGGGGACAGGTCAGACGGCGGGACACCTTCACGCGCCGCTGCTCGCGGGCGACTCGGAAGAGAAAGAAACAAGGCCTAAACGTACCTTCTCATCGTGCTGCTCTTGCTGCCCGTCAGCGCGCCGATGAGCGCCCGCTGCGGATCCGACAGCAGGTCGTACTGGAACTTCTGCTTCGTCTTCCAGGTCTTCAGCGGCGTCGGATTGTCGTTGCTCAGCCCGTACACCGTGAAACCCTCGTCGACATACTGTTGGTACGCGTCCCTGAAGAGACAGGCTTGGTTCGTGCAGCCAGGTGTGTTAGCCTGTTAAAAGGCAACAAAGCGTTAGTATGCAGACACGAGCTTCCGAGTGGAAGCACAACGATGCCACACAACATCAAGCACCGCGAAGCACGCGTTTACCTTACCTTTGGATATCTGGCGGGCAGAAAGTTCGGAAACAACTGGGTTGTCAGTCCCTCTAGGAATCAAAAGTACTGCGTGAGGTGGATCCAACGCACGAAAAGAGGACGCATTTTTTCAGCTCTCCAACCTTGACCTCCTTCTCCTCTTGTGTCTTGAGGATCAGGCCCTGTGGCAGCTTGTCGCCGACCTTGAGCTTGCCTCCCGCGGTACCGTTCCCTACTGTGATTATGGCAGCGCCACCTTTCGCAATGCTTTTGGAAACCTTGGTCTTCTTGCTTGATGGCGGTGGTACATCGGCGCTGCCGGCGGCGCGTTTTTTAGTCTCGGCCTTCTCCTTGCTGGGTATCGAAGAGACAGACGCAGCTGGTTTCGCTGCTGCTTGGCGAGCGCTACGGCGCTCCCCGTCACGAGCTGGCTTTGGAGGCATTTCGATCTGCGGATCCCTTTCTCTACGAGTTTCGGCAGAGGAAGCAACGGAAGGCCACTAAAGGCGAACAGGCTGTTGCGGGATGCAAGCGACGCACGCCGAACCTAAAGAGGCTTCTCTAGGATGTGCTCGCCTCCAACATCTCCTGTTAGAGATGTTGGCCACTTGGATGGGGATGACGCAAAAGCTTCTCTCTCGAGCTATGCTCATGGAAGTTCTACCAACACGCTCACATTTTGTATGTATCCCTCGAAACGGTTTGTGAAGCGATCAGAATATCTAGCTGAAGATGGTATTCGATCATGACAGGACAGCATACAATGAAACCTCGCATTGCGTAATGAATTGCGACGAGCAATATGATCGAATGCGATAAAATTGAGGTTTCACCGTCGAGCGTGTCAAGTATCCATCATACTCGCGCAGCGATCATAGCAAGTTCTGCTTCGAAAGGCTTGGCCTCCTGGCAGTCTTCGTTCCAAATTGTTACACTGGGACTACAGCCTCGCAAAGCGCATTTTCGTATACCACCTGTCCTCGTTTAAAGTAGCTTCCCTCCTCCGCTTCGACTTGCGCGCCTGCAGCATCAGTCGGGACATCGTCGTTCTCCACCTTGGGCCGCTTCACCTCCCTCTCTGCCTCCTGCGCGTCACCGTGTGCTTCTACCTTGCATTGGTTGACCCGAGCTTCAGCTGCATTTTCTGCACTCCCAGCTTGCCTCTCAGTGTTTTCTTGGCTTTTCGGTTTCTTTTTCTGCTGCTGTTTGGTGTCTTGCTTCACGAGAGGGCCCTCGCCCGCCTCTTGCTTGGGGCGCTTCTCCTTCTCCTTCTTTCCGTTTGTTGTCTTCCTTCTCGTGGTGGTACTCATTGACACCTCCTTGAAATAGATGCACGGATATTCGCACCATATCAGCGGTCCAGCCCAACCGAAGGCGGGAAGACGGAGGAAAAGATCTAGATGGTAACAAAGGGGACCTCGTCCAGCAGCCCCTTATTCTTGGGGATATTGTATGTTTTCATTTCCAATGAAGCCGACATGGTAGTGCCTGTGGCGAAGGAAGAACAGTTCTCGCATTGAGTCAATGTGGTGCAAGAGCCGTGAAAGCGTTCATGCCAGGACTCACACTTGGGGATGGTGCAACACGAGCCCCACACCATTCACTCCGCCTTGGGCCAGTGATTCTGCAGCCCTAACAAGTCTCCGAGGATTCCTGCGTGTGGCCTCTTCTGATATCTCGGGCTGAATCATGATACAGTCCGCCCACAAACTGATGAGACACGTTTACCAGCTTCCGAAGGCGCTGGCACCCACGCTGCTCAATACCTCACGCCTGGACCGGATGTGTTGAAGGCTGCTACGCAGACGGTTGGAGGAATACATATGATCGCCCATCTCGACCACATATCATTTATGCCTCACTTGCAGAAAAAGTTGGACTAACAGGGTCTTGTTCTTCTACATATCCAAGGAGTCTGCGCAATGAGCGTGGTCCGGAAAGCGAGCGCAAAAACGGCGAGCCAAGCCGCGTTGACCGCGTGCCAGAAGGCGAGACAGGCGGTGCGGAGGTTGCAAGGCTCTCGAAACCCCAAGTGATTCAGGATCTTCTCATGCACCTCTTGCGGAAAGCACAGAATGGCAACATCTTGGGACGCTGCCTAATCGCATATCTTGTGTCGTGTTGTTTGGTTGAGGAAGCCAAATTTCCTTCAGGGTAAGCAACTCGAATAATCAAAGTTAGCGTTCACGGGAAGGCCTGGAGACTCGAAGGAAGGGACTCTTGATTAAGAGGGAAACGCGAGCCTGGAGGGCAGTACATGTTTTTGTCAAGGGCAGTCACCTACAGTACGGGGTTATGCGTGGAGGACGGTCACATGGCACCGTCAAGCGCACAAAAGGAGCTGCGAATGTGTGCGCGCCAATCAGCGTTGAGCCTAGCAGATTTCCCAGATCAAACGTCTTTGGCACATGACGCTGTAACCTGATTCAACGGAAGTAATTACGGCCTCCCTTTGATGGAAGCTGGTCGAAAGGTCACCGGGGGCCAGGTGCAAAGTGCAAGGAGCATGGTGTGGTTCTTGCTTGCTCTCTTTCCAGCCAAGCAGATGAGGGAAAGATCTGCCTGGGAAAGGATTATCGGGTTCATCGAGGTTCTACGGGCTTCTCTTTAGTATAAATGCATCCTGCTCCCTTGCGAACGAGACTCCTTCATCACCATGCAGAGATAGTGGACGTCGGTGAGACACAACGAGCGATAAGCAGTGCAGCAGTGAAATACAATATAGATGATAGTAGTGATAGGAGAGGGTATGCTGCGCAATATGTACCCACGATTAAAGCTTGCCGAAACCACTCAAAGTAGTCATTGGTGCAAAGCCTTAGATCGGCTAAAACACGGTGCCGCGAGCTGAGTGCAGCGCCATGCTGCTGATAGTGGTCGTACCCCAGCAGCAGTCCATCGTCATGTACATGGAACGCCATGTTCTGCTTCACGAGATATATGTTGAGCTACCGGTGCATGGATTCGACTTGCTCTCCAGCGGCAGCAGTGAGTGCGGCTGCGATGGCGGCGTTTGCGAGGGTGGGTGCGAGTTGGCTGATGCCTACGCAATCTGAGCCGTAGCGCTAATGCGCGGGGCATACTGTTCGCCCATCGATGTAACTGCTAGTTCGATGTGTGCATAGATGGCTCCTTTGACTCGGTGCAGATGCTGTAAGATGCGTGACTAGCCCGGCCCTTTAAGCCGGCGTGGCTCGCTTCAGACGTATCAGCATCGTAGTTAGCAGAAATGGTGGCAAGAGCACGATCAACACCGTATTCTTCGATCTCTGCTGTCATGAGATCCAGGGCAGACAGATAGATAAAGTGTTTCCTTTCAAATCGGACCTTGCGAAGCAGGCCGGTAGGTTGCGGCTGTGGTGGTGCAATGTTGCTCGTGATAACATTCGCAGCCTGGAGCACTTGCACTTGAGCGAGGTACGAGGCCGAGTTCTCCTACATGCATGACGTTCTCACAATCGTAAATTCGTTTATGGCACTCGCGATTCTTCCTTCGACGAGCCTCTGGATCATATCCCACGTACGCCGGACGCCTGCGATGCCGACATCTGTCGTCGATGTACAGTACGCCGCGAATGAATGAGGGTTGAGGCGGTCAATAGTCAGTGGTCAGAAATCGATATGGTGGATCCTTGAATGAACCATGGCAGCATACTCTCCTGAATCTTCGCCGTCATAAGCGATGCACGACGACGAAAGATTTCCGTTGCACGTGCCACACCCAAACATGCCGTGATCGTGACCGTGACAGCGTGCGCACAGCCTGTGGCGCTTGTCGCTTCCCGTGCTGCTGCACCGCCAAAACTCGTCGGCAGGCTGGCCGTTGCAAGTGACACAAGAATCGCAGCCTTGTCCATCACAGGCAGGGCAGGCGTATTCGACACAGTAATCGGGCAGCTCATAGTTGCGGCGGACCTTGCTCTTCGCGTCATGTAGAGGTTCTTTTAAAAATCTCCCAGGGACCATCTAGATGGGTGCGGTGGAAGCGCACCGTTAGAGGAGGCGGTGCTGCTGCTCCCATCTTTAACAGAACCGATGCGCTTCCAGCTGGTAGAATGGCTCTCCATGGTCACCATCGACTTGACCAGGGCAAGTTTGAGTCTGGTCTTGAAGCTGACTTAAGCGCCTCCTTGCGCGCTTTCCGCTTTTCGGCCGTGAACTTATCCTTCTTGGTCGATGGCAGTGTCTTTCGGTTGTGTCACAAAGCGCGAAAAGGGGAACCGCATAGGTGGGTAGAAACAATAAGCGAGCGCTTCGCGTGCCTATTCCTCGTTCGACACTCGCTCGGGGCTGCATGTAAGAAGTGTTTAGGCGGTTATGAGGCTGGCCCTGGTTCTGCAACGTTCACAGTTGCAGGTTGTGCTGTCTGGTTTTAGAGTTAAAAGCCAATGTCGTAAAGAGTTAGAAAAGCAAATGGCTAGCTATGTGGTCGATGTGAGCTCCGCTGGGGGCTGTCGATCGATTTGAGGACCAGGGTGGTGTCGAAATGTTGGACATTGCCAGATGCCGATGGGCACCGAGGTGACTCAGGACGCATGGTGAACTTTCTTCAGCGAGGCGACAAAGTTTCGGACTCTGGACACGCTTAATGCCTTGGGAAGTAGAAACATGCACAAATGGCTCCGGAGATTCATTGCTGCTGGACCGTGGGCTATCGTCTGTGGCATAGCGTGGGCCCATGATCTGAGTGAGGGCTCGATAGAGCTGATCAGAGTCGAATACATCCCGATGCTTGCTCAATTATCAAATTGCTCAAAAATTTCGGCCTCGCTTTACTGCATTCGCACCCATCGGCCCCACACGAGGCGACATGGAGTGGGCTTCATCTGAGTCAACAAGCGCGCTGGTACCGTGCACCAGGCCTTTGAGCTGGGGAGAGTCGCATACAATGAATGGGTTACATTACTTCGGTGGGTAAGGCAAATGGATGCGAGGAAGTGCTGCACGACGGACTTAGCGAAGTGATCAGTACTATTAGGACTTGCGAGCAGGCCCATTGACCTGACCAAGCTGAGCCTGAACGCTTTCGGCGCGGCCCGAAGATCTGCGTGTGCAGTCCACGCTCGGGGCCGAGCTGGGTCAGCTTGAACATGCATTCATCTCTTCATGAGGGAAAACGGTCGAAAGCCCGCTGCTGATTGAGATTTTTATAACGGCTTGAAAAATATTCAACGCACGCCTCTCTGCTCGAATCAACGCACTAGGTCTGCTCGAACAATGTCACGAACAATTAGCATTGTTCGGCAAGGTGGGTTATGGATCCAGCGGAGAGGTATGAACTGTGAAACGCCAAAGTTCCACCAAGAAAAGCAGCAGGGTTGTTGGGATAGCGCGCCTTTCGCTGGACTGATGCGGGGCTCGCCGCTCGAGTATTCTATATATGTACATACATAGGAGTAGGGGATGGTGGAACTGGCCGCGCTCGCTGCTGTTTCAAGGTGAGACATGTTGACACCTCGCAATTGACTCTCGGCTGAATTACTCTTGATTTTGGCTGCTCTGGCGGACCCGTGCAGCTTTCTCGTCTCTGGAGCATTCAGCAGTTGATGGAAGCCACGATGATAGGTAAGGATTCTTGATGACCGCTGATTGGCACCAGGATTGGACGAAAGGAATCTACTTTCGGACACAGGACTACCGAATTCACCCTGCCTGGGGGAGCTCCAAGCCGCGCCCCTGGGTGGACGGATCAGCATTTTTGTAAACAACCCCGAGATCATATTCATGGTCAGTCGCAGGTGTTGTCGCTCCGAGCATCGAGGTTGCTGTTAACTCTTCAATCACGCCCCTTCTCTCTTCCCTTTCCAGGCTATTCACCATGGCTTACGCATTTTGACCGGCTTGTCTCCCTTCGTGCAAGAGTTCTACAGCTTAAGCGTATAGACTTTGTTGGGAAAACCCTCGATGGGCTACTTCATCTGTCAAGGTAAGATCTTTTCACGGTGAGTCTTCGACCGCAGCCATTGGACACTATCAATACTGCGGGCTGAAAAGCGTCGTTGCATCTCTATTTCTTGTCCGTTTCTTTTCATTTGGGAGCCTGGGTCTGCTTCGCAAATATCAAGGCTGGACTCATACTCGCTGACTAACGTCTTCGCCTCTTTGACTTCGAACTTCTAGTTCACCCTGATGGTGATCCGCTTCACCTTCACCGCTGAGTGGTGGTCAATCGTGTTTTCCAAGGCGATCTGGAGGTCGCCAGCGATGAACTCGGAGGACATGTTTGGTTTGATCGAATCTGGACGAGCAAGGGTTCCATCGGTGGCGCTGCACCATTTGTAATTTCACTTGGGCTTCCAGCTCTTCTTAGACACGATTTGAAAAGAGAGAAGGCCATTCCGAATGGTAGCGGGTATGGAAACGTAAGAGCATGCACATTGAGGTAGTCGTGGAGAGTTGTACCTGACACAATTCCCATCATGAGGCGGAGAGACTTTGTGGAGAGAAATCGCACCTAGGTGCATCCACATCGCTGTCCGGCACTAGAGTGCACCACGCTGCAGTGGCAAAGATCGGCGTGGGGATCTGGGTGCAACATGTCGGCGTGGGGGAGCCCACTGCACCTGCCTGATTAGGCTCTTGAGAGGAGTAGGAAATGGCATCGAGAGGTGGGCATCAAACTCGACAGACGACGGCGACGACGACGCCCTCGCAACGAGCTAGATTCAAATGCACTGTCTTTCTCGTTGAGTCCTGGATTGAGACGGGCTGCTTCAAGGGGTGCACTGTCCGATCCATTCCGTCTGTTCACTTAGCTATCGAGCAGCCATACTCGCACTGACCATGTCTGCTCTCCTAGTTGCATCGCCGCCACTTGACGTCCGGCGCCGTACAGCGTTGGTGACCGGCTCGTCGAGTGGCATCGGCATTGGAATCGCGCGGCAGCTCGCTGCGCAGGGATTCGACGTGGGTCTGACGCGCATGCCTCGCGAGTCGGAGAGCGCATCCGCCGCGCTGCAAAAGGAGTTGCAGAGAGCTTACGGCGTTCGAGCGCACGTGTTCGTCACAGATCTCTCGGATCCACCGCGCGCAGCGCCCACACTGATCGATGAATTCATGCATGAGTTTGGACGCATCGATGTGCTGGTCAATAATGCAGGCTTTGATGCGCACTCGGGGACGCTGATCAAGGACATGGGGGAATCATCGAGCGATGCAACCGGCGGCGCGGAGGAGATTTCAGCCAACATACGCTCTGGGTTTGCGACGAACTTCGAATCGCCCTTCTTGCTCAGCTGGGCAGCAGTGCGGCGCATGCTCACGCAGCCAGCGCCGGAAACGCGCGAGCCGGATGCCGCAAACACATCGCCGGAGGAGAACTTCTATACGCACCAATGGGGCAGAGGGCGCATTGTCAACATCACCTCGGTGCATGCCACGACGCCGCTGCCGCTATCGACGATCTACACGTGCACGAAGCACGCGCTGCGCGGCTTGACGATTCAGTTGGCGACTGAGCTAGCCCCGCTTGGCATCACTGCCAATGCCGTCGGGCCGGGTATGATCGCCACACCCATGACGAACATCCGACCTGAGGAAGTGGAGAGCGCCAAACGGGAAGTGAAGCAGATCCCTATCCCCCGAGCTGGGAGGCCGTTCGAGGTGGCCGGCGCTGTGGGATACCTGGTGACGCTGGGTGCGCGGTACACGACGGGACAGTCGATCTACCCGGACGGAGGGTTTATGCTTGCCAACCCGCAGTGCATTCTATGCCCTTTTGCCCGCCCTATGAGTTGCCGGGGGCCATGTGTGCTAACACATTACATGCCTTCTTGCGTCATTTTATCGGCAGGTACATGGGGAGACTTGAGCCAGGGGCCTGAACGACCTGATACGACCGAATCGACCGCACACATGACGCACAATTGAATCACGTCCGGTTGTACTTTCACAGTTTTTTTGTAACTTTCTAGTATCATCTTGTCATGACCCTACTTCAGAATTCGCACCGGGCGGGGAGGTTGGCGCTAGCAACAGATTTGTCTGTGAGCGAAGGGCGGAGATTAGTGAGCAGCTCTACTCGCTTTTTTCTTCGTACCCCCTCGTGAGCCCGCTATGACTGCAGCTGTGTGAGCGACGGAGATACCTAGTCGGAACGCAGAAGAGATACGAGATTGAGGTACACAGGCAGCCTTGGCGAAAACATGTTCTCATCAGACCTCCAGGTTGATAGTACTAAGTAGCTTTAAACTGATCCAGCAAATAGCAAAGTTTTATACTGCTGTTTAGTACTATCATTAAAGAGAGCCATCACATTTAATTCGGAAAGAAAACTCCATACTAGAAATCCTTGACGACTAATACTAAACACAGCATAAACCATTCCAAGATACGTCGTTCTCCAGAATGATGTAGTCGACTCTTTCTTTAACAACTCATTATTTTAAAAATAACAATAACAACAACGAATTTTCACGATGCGAGAAGCGGATACCATGAGAATTGCATTTCAATACTGAAAGTGTAGAAAATTCTTGATTTATGGTTTGCCTTAGAATGAGTCAAAAACACATACAGTCCTTGAAGGACCCATGCTGATACTATATAGAAATGTATTTGGTTCAATATATTGTTCATTGGTTTCGTGCGCATAGAAATACGATTACTACTAGGATAAGTGTAGAAAAAGGATATAAGGGTGCTATATTTATCGGATACATTTCTTATTGCTTTCCTGCATTGTAGCGCATCGATAGAGTGCTACCCGTTGGAATCGCTGACTGGATCTAAGATGCCCAGCATTGAACAAGGCAACTACCGGGCGCTGGAACATAACCCTTCAGGAAATCCCCATAAAGTCTTCCCAGGAAGCCGCTGCTCGAAATCAAATTCCGGCAATCCCCGGAAAGCCCTTACATAAATAGCCATATTTCGAGAGTAAAGAGGAAGAATCCTTCGGAACTGCCCTCATTTGTCCCAAGCGCACAGATCTGTGGGTTTTCGAGGCCAAGAAAGGCCGTTTCTGGATAGTTTTCGGGACCCGGAACCCCCTGGGAGACCGGCCCACAGACCGAGACCCGGGCGACTTTCCGGGTCCTTCCGTGGCCCATGGTAAGATCACTAAGAGAGGAGCTTAGAATTGACCAGGATTCTGGGGGTTTCTGGCACTGGCTCACACCGTTGCTGGGCTAACGCTACTTGGCCGACGTATAGTGACAGCCACAAAGCCCACATTCATGGGAGAAGAGGCGATGATGACATGCACTTCCGTTGACAGAAAGAGTGAGTCAAACCTCAATGGAGACAGACGTTCTTTCGACACGTCTTTTCCATCTGGCATTCTTCTTGCATCGATATCATTCCCTCGGCACATTGGTCTCTTGCAAGAAGAGCGATACATACGGCAACACAAAAGTCAAGACAACCAAATATCCTAGCCCGCCATGGCGTCTGCAAACGACCGCCCGAGGGCGCAGCTCTACGTCTTCGACGGCTCCGTCTGGGCCAGCGTCCCTCGCATCGGGCTCGTCGAGAAGGGCTACTCCCCGAGTGACCTGGACATCAAGCAGGTTAACCTGCTCAAAGGCGAAAACTTTGCGCCGTCGTACCTCCGCCTCAACCCTAACGGCACCGTCCCCACGCTCGTCGTGCCCACGTCGGACACCACCAGCGAAGAGGTCGCGACCAAGTTCCGCGCGATCACCGACAGCAAGCAAATCCTCGCTTTCCTTGGTGGGTACTGTGCCAGAAGCAGCGCTGAGAAATGACTCGAGTCTGATGACGAGCACCCTTCCGTCGTTACTATATTTCCCAAGACGAGTCAAGATCGCAACATATCCTCGAGGCCAAGGGACAGGGAAAGGACGCGGCAGCCCCCGTCCTTTCACCAGCGACGATTGAAGGCAAGGCACTGAGCGATTCACTCATTGCAGTGAGCAGTACCCCTTATGCATCAATGAGTGCCTGCTAATCTGACTATCACTCGGTAATCGTGTCTGGCCGACGCAGCTGGTACACGGCAGCGACTTGGACCCCAACTTTTTGCTGCTCTCCGCAAGGACACTGGAGGAGGTCAAGCCACTGAAGGAAGGCATAGCGGGAGTCTTTGTGAACGGGCAGTGAGTCTTCTCAAGCAAATCATCACCTTTGGTCCTTTCGAATGATCTCCAACGTGTCCATTTTGAACGGCGCAGAGTCGCAGCGCTGAAACGCTACCAGGCACAGGTGCAAGCCGACTCGAATCAGACGTCGAACCCGGACGCGAACCCGCGCTCCGCGGCGCACAACGAGCAGTTGCTCAAGTGGTACACGGACAAGCTGCACGCCTTGTCACCCGCGTACCACGTCTACGGCCCGGAGTCGACCCAGCAAGCGACGCAGCTGTTCATCCAACTCTCGCGTAGCCGCTGGCAGAAACTTGGCGCTGCACTCGCGCAGCTCGAGAGGCAGATTCGTGGGCCATACGCCCTTGGGGACCAAGTCAGCCTGGCGGACGCGCACCTCATGGCGTGGTTCGCGAGGGTGATCGCCGTGTGCGAGAGCAAAGAAAGCGCAAAAGACCTCGACGCGCTCGAAAAGGCGCTGCAGCACGAGGCCGTTGCCGGCGAAGGCCGCAGCATGCTTGGGCCAAAGGTGCGCATACCTGCTGAAAGTCATGAAACCTGATGCTACTCCGGCTGACCATTCGCCCCTCCTTCCTGACGCGCATTTGCTCACAGGTCCGTGCATACTGGCAGGCGCTGAAATCTCGACCTAGCTTCCAGGCTGTTTACAAGGATGGACTGCATTGAAAAGCTATAACTGAAGCGGTTGCTGCCGCTGCCGCTGTCATCTCTCTCATTCACTTTTGCGGGATACACTACGAAGACATGGTGTCGCAAGTCGGATACATATCCCTGAAACACGCACTCTCACGTCCAACCTTCGACAGGATGCGGGCGGGTCTGAGGCTGATTGCGTCCAGAGGCCATGATCGGTGCTGGGCGACTCTACTTGCATCTATGCCACGACGACTGTGCAGTGCTGTCAATCTTCTTAAAATTGTATGACCGGTACAAATACATGAGGGAGTCTCGTGAGATTACATGAGGGAAGGAAGAGGGAGTGGCAGTGCTGAGAGCAAGTGGACTAGTTGCTACCCGGTCGTCTGGAAACGTCTTGCGTTGGAGATCTCCTCGAGCAGCTCTGCTAGCCGCATGTCGTCCTTTGATACCAACCTATGAGGGTGGCGGTGCACGCAGCAGCAAACAGGTCCTCTTAAAAGCGTCAGGATCTCAAACGCCAAGGGCAAGGACATGCTAAAAAGGCTGTCAGTAGAGCACTCACGTCGGGATCAACGTCTTGGCCTCCTCGACATTCTCGACTGCCAGATCGGCGATTTGCACGCCTTCAAAACCGGTCAGCTGCAAGCTTGCTTCGTCCGGAACCAGGTTCCCATTCTCGTCATAGTCTTCGGGTTTCAGCGTGTTCGGGTGGAGATGGTCGCTGTGTCCGGTGAAACACAGGTTGCATGGACCAGGAGAAGGGTCGGGGGAGGGAGTTAAAAAGAGAGAAAGGCAAAGGAAGGATGAGTCGACTATATTCAGCGACATGGAAACATGGCCTGCACTGACGCTCTGAGGCTGCGGACAGTATCTAGAGCATTGTAGCGCGAAAAGATCTCAATGTAGTCGAGCGTCTTCTTGTAGATGCTATGAGTCACAATCACCACATAAAGCAATAGCGTCAGCTATTCACATCTTTCCCTCGCCCGCCCGGGCTGTGGATAACACCACGGTGAGTAGTCTCCCTGAAGAGAAGACGTACGGATTACTCGACTGATCATGCTCTTGCTGCCCGTCTTCCTTGTCGCCTTCGATCTGCTCCAAAATGAACTTGACCTCTGAGATCAACAGCGGTTGCGCCTGATCTCCCATGAACTCTTCAAAACCCAGTGCACGATTTCAGTCATTCGCCGATAAAAAGGACGCAGGCAAGGCAGTAGGCATGAGAGACGAAGTGAACGAGAGCGTCAAAGTAGGAGCGTCGTGTGAGCGCAACGCGAGGGTGGTGGCCGCATCCAGCCAGCGCGATCCAGGCTCACCTTGTCCGAGCTTTCCTATTGATGCATCCTCCTCTTCGTCCTTCAGGTCCCGTCGGCGTCGGACGGATGCTGAATAAAGAGACGCCATGCGGAAAGTTTGCTGGTAGGAAAACGCTGCAATTGAGTCTTGCTTCCCAGTGCGATCTCGCCGGGCGCGGCGGCTGGCTGGGGGAGTAATTCCGAGTTCTCACACGAGTGCCAGATCACAGGCTGCAGCGTGGGTGTTTGGAACGTCGCTAAAATGGCAATGTCGCGAGTACAAGTCGGAAGAGCTCATAGAAGGGTGAGACGTTGGATTGAAAGGCGTACCTCTCAAAGATTCCAAGTTTCCATATGCCCCCGCGGAACGATGAGGATTGACACGTTGCTCTCATCATCGAATTTGGGTCTCAGAACCTATATCATCCTAACGTCATACATTACAATCCCTGCTGTTTCATGACGGTACCAAACGAGCAAGCATGGAAAGAAGCACTGCAAGGCGCCGGATGAAAGCAGCTGCTACCGCCTGCCACCATCGACCAGCTGTTGCACTGATTGGTGCGCAAAAGTAGGGACAGGTAACGTGACATGCGAAGCGACTTTTCTTGACCGACAGCTGCTATGAGTTCGCAGCCTGTCCATCCATCGGGAAGCCGCGAGCCATGGCAGGCTCGACAACCGAGGCGGCGGAAAGCTCAACCAAGTTCAAGTTCTGCATCCAAGGTGCAAGGTACGCTGCACAGGAACCGTCCATTCCGAGTGCTGTTCTTGCCCATCGTCGTCCTTGCCTTTGGACTCCTTCATTGCCTCTTCCATCTCCTCGTCTCGATAGGGAGAACAACACGGCGAATCAGACGGGGGCTGACTCGGCGCAATAGAATGTCAATAGAAGCGGTGTTTGAGCACATCGGCCACCGAATGCGTGCCCAGCTCGATTCATTCAACGCTGGCGAAGGGGAGGACTGGCCAGTGGAGTTGCAAGTCGTTCATGACGTCGAAGTGGGCAGTGGGCAGCGCGTGGCAAGCATCAAAGTCGCACGCCATCTTGCAATCGTATTTGCTGACCGATCAGATACATTGGCGGGGACATTATGGAAAGCTCTGAAGGCGCGAGCGGCACCGCAAACTCACGCGTGGGAGCAACAAGAATCAGCGCGGCTGTTAGAGCGCCAGGCTTTTCTGGTGCAGGAGGCACGCAAGGCTGTACGTTGGGCTGCGCTCCTTGGCGTCGATCAGATCAGCATATACGATGATCGGGGTCTGTTGAAAGACCATTTCTCTCGTTCTGCAGAGGCAGGGCGGCCACATCGATGGACGCAGACTGCGGAAGCATGCATGCCACTTTCGGAGCGGATAGGAGAGGGAGAACAGATGGCTTCAGGTGCATCATCGGATGCGAGCTCTTCGATCGCATCATTAGACTTTGACCAGTCGTCAGGTACCGGGGGTCTGGCATCGTCTGCCAGCTCCCTACCTTCAACCGAGCCGATCGACGCCATCAAAGCATACGCACCAGCAAGGCCTGTCACCGTACCTTTTACGAGGCAGGGGCCTGGAGCGGACACTGAAGCAGTCAGAGCTTCAGAGAAGATCGAGCATTGTTGGCCCCGCTTCTCGTCTTACCACATTGAGGTCGAGTTGTGCATCTCCGGGCAGCACGACGTCTCGCTCGAATTCCTGCAAGCCCGGCGCAAGGCAGCCATCTGGCGGCGACAGTCCCTTGGGTTTCAGGATAGGGCTTCACCGCCCCCGGCGTCATCGCCACCGCCGCTTGCACTTCCGCTGCACGTTACGCTCAACGTCCTCTCGCGCGAGGATGGCAAGCACGAGCTGGTTGGCATTGCAAATGAGTTGCGCGAGCGCGTGCAGGAGCAGACGGAGGAGGAGATTGAGGTGTATGGCAGCAGTTGCAGCCAAGGAGGAGTGAATCAAAGTTCGTCGGCAGCTGAACGTAAGGAGCGGAGGGAGATACGCTCGTTATTGCTCGATCGCATTGATGCAAGGAAAGTCGATGCTGCACTCGAAGGTGCGTACATGCAAGCCATACACCCGATGATCGTAATCTCAACCGCTACCGCATCAACTGATTGTTTTCCTTTGCGTCGATGCATCTATCATAGAAAGAGGCTGCATGGGAGAGCCGGAGCTGCTGATCGTCAAAGGCGGCTCAAGGCGTGTCATCGCGCTGCACGGCTTTCCGCCGTGGCCTGTACGCCTGACTGAGATTTAGTAAGTGCATACCCCCGCACCATGCTCCCTCCTTCAACTTCGATTCCAGGGCCTACACTTGCTGATGGCTGTAGAACTGACAACTACTTTCTGGCTCAAAGCCACTGTGGAGCAGTTAATGCACATGAAGGATTGAAGGAGGAGGACGTGCTGAATGCGCTACTGCAGTATTCAGGCTCGACGCAACGGTATGGGCGCTAGTGGAGACAGACCAGAGCCATGGGTTGGACTACTGTCATACATGATTCGAATCACGAGGAGGATCGTGCGTGAACAATGACATGTCAAACTCGTCTGCATCCACTGTACCGCTGCCTGCTTTCTGAGTGGAACGCAGCTGGCAAGCCTGGACCGCCTGCCACATCTCCTCGTGCACTTCGTCCACGCTGCGACCCGCGTCGATTGTGCTCCACGCGAGCGGATGCGCAGCGGCGGTGACATCGCGCTGGATGACAAGGAACGCTTCGCGCACACGGCGCTGCATATCTTCACGCTCGTAGCGCTCTGCGCCGTACGCGCCGCGCTGGCGCGCGACATCCGGCGCAATGTCGAGGAAGATGACGAGGTCCGGTTGCAGCAGACCGGAGTCGGGTGCCCGGCACCAGGCGTAGGAGAGCGCTGCTGACGCTGGCAGCACGCTGGTCGACGATGGGGTGGAGGGTGATTTGGAGACGGAGTACGCAACTCCAGAAAAGGCGTAGCGGTCGCAGATGATCGTGGTACCACGTGAGAGGATGGCTTTGATGCGCTGCCTAGAGCAAGGGGCAGGAGAGAGGGGTAGGCAGATCATAAAGTCAGCATGTCAACGACCGACAGCAGACCTCAAATTGAAGCGGAAAGGGACGCAGGCAGAGAAAGGGGACACCCACATGGCTTCCCACCGATTCGCACTGAATAGCAGATGAATGGCCCGGTCGTCAATATCGGTTTGCGACTGGAGGTACGCGTCGATCATCTTGCCGATCGGGGTTGTGCGATCGGGAAACTTGTACACGATCGCTTTTTCTACTGCTTCCGCAGTTGGGCCATCCTCTTCATGAGACGCTGGTGCCTGGCTTCCAGCGTCCCGTTGGTGTTGGGCTGCAATTGAGACGCCTTCGCGGTGCTCGCTGGAGAAACGATCTCCACGAAGGAAGCGCTGAACTAGGAGATCAACTTGTGTCGACTTGCCAGCGCGATCCAAGCCTTCTACAACAATGAAATTCCCACGTCGCCTTCGTCGAGGGTCTGTGTTGTGCTGCCCAGACATTGGGGCAGAAGCGACGGTAGACATGGCGATGGTGCGCTTTACACGAGGTATCCGCGTCAAGGAGTAGCCAGAGAAGGGGTCAGAGAACAAGAAAGGAAGGGTTGCAGATTGCAGTAGTCGAGAATGTCGCATATGCATGCGCTATTTTTGCATGATCGTTGGATCCGTTAGAGTATGGGGGCCTGGGGCTCGGAGGAAGCGGGTTCGCACTGAGGTGAGAGATCCCAAATGGCGTCCAACGCTTGTGCTTCGAGCATCAATCGACGCGTCTGGATTTCGAGTTTCGAGAGGGCGCCGGTGCCAGCAGTTGCTTTCCTTGGTAGATCCACACCCTTTCCCTTTTCCTGGTCGGAGCTGTCAGCAGCACAATGTATCCTCGGCAGCTCCTTAGCCCGCACCGAGCGACTAGCGACGAGATGATGATGTCCTAGCCTCGTCGAGTGGTCAAGACGCGTTCACGGTGTGGGTGCGCACTTCTTTCTCTTTCGCTTTACTCGGCATTCGCGAAAAGCCAAGGAGAAAGAAAGAAAGAAAAAAAGAAAGAAAGAAAGAATGCGACCTGTGGCGCGTGGGCGCAAGATTGTGAAAGCGCGCCCTCGCGCCAAACCTGCTTGCATCTCGGGGGATCACGGCAACAGGCAGCCGTTATCCCCGGGTTTCACCAAAATCCCCTGAATAACCCGGCCTTCAGCGTCCCCCAACAAGCCGGACTGGGGCCTTCAGGATGCGGCTGACGTTCTCCACCTCGCGGTATCTCTGTCACTCTCACCCAACTCCAACTTCTCTCCTTCCGATTCCATCATCCCCCCGCAGTGGACACCCTCATCGGATCGTCATCCTGCTTTCGTTGGAGGAGATCGTGCACCGATCAAGCATCTGCCCGCATTGCCCCTTCGCTGCTGAGCAAGCCAAAGCCGCATCCCGCAGATCCAACCCCCAGCGCAAGGAAGAGAGACGAACAGCACCATGTCCGTCGTCCAGCAGGTCATCCTCCACCCTTATCTCTCCCAGACGGTGCGTCTGCTTCCTCTCAACTTCCTCCTTCCTGCTCTTGTCGTCTAGAATCCAGCGGCCTGAACGCAGAGCGACAGGCAGATGCATCCATCCTCTCCCCTCGTACCTGCTGACGCCGTCTCATTCTTTTCTGTGCGACTTGTCACAAATAGCTTCGCTTCTGGTCCACCACCGTCGGCCGCGACAAGACCTACCGCACGATCCAGTATGCCGCTCGGTTCCTCGCATGGTACGAGTACAGGAAGGGGGCGACCAAGACGACGGTCGATCGCCTCAATGCGCTCAAATCCAACCTGGGTCTCAGCAGAAAGCGTGAGTTTCCTTGTCTCGAATTTGGGCGCACTTCTTTTGGAAGACCATCCTTTCACTCGCTGTTTGCGGCTGAAGATGGATGCTGTAAATGGAGACATGGACGTTAGAAAGGACCGAGCGCATATATGCTTGGCGCTGCGAACTCGAGACGCAAGGAAACCAGCTGACGCATTTACGCCCGGCGGACCGCAGTGATGCGTGTTGGCAAATTCCTCGAGCATTTCCAAGCCGCCTTGAAAGCGACGGCGATCCAAGACCCCGTCGTCTCGTACACCGCTATCGGCCGCCAACTGGGCTACGGATTATATCTCATCCTCGACACACTGCAGTGGATCCATGGGGCCAAGGTGTACACTTTTGCGCCGGAGACGCACAAGTCCATCGCCAAGAACGCTGCGCGCGCCTGGCTGACAGGCCTGACGTTCTCGCTTGTCAGTGGCGCGTACAAGACGTACGCGATCCGCCAGCGCCTCGCGTCCGCCGCGCGGCCGCGCGCGACAGCCGAGAAGGAGGCCGAACGCAAGGTGCAGCTCGCCGCCATTTGCGCAGAAGAGGCCGCCGTCCGGTACCAGATCACGCAAGATGCGCTCGACTGGCTCATCCCTGCCACCGGCGCCGACGTGCTCAACCTCGACGAGGGCATCCTGGGCCTCGCAGGCTTCACTACCTCCGTCATGGGCGGTCTCAGCCAGTGGAAGGCTGTCAACGGCGGCGGTGCGACAGCGGCCAAAAAGTAGCCACTTGGCAGAGGAAATCGGAGTTGCGTGGACTCCTCAAACATCGAGAACATATGGCAGGTTCTTTTTTGTGTATTTGGAGCGATCTGCACTTTTGAGACATGAATTCTATTTTCTGCTTGCTGGCGCTCATCCATCTACGTGTGGACCCGCACATTACGGCGCGCGGATTGAAGCGAACCAAGCAATATAATGCTAAAGCTGCTAACACTCCGCGATCGACCGACCAGAAAGATGCGCCTTGCGATCAGAACTTGCTAGCAGCATTGATGACTGAAATATAGGATTACTACCACAGCATACTTGCGCGTCCATATACCAACCTCGCGCCTGCAGTAGTCGGAACATGTCGTTCACGACCGTGGCTACTGCCCCTGCATCTGCGCTTCTACACGAGGTTTCTTGATCGCCTCGCCAGCCTCATTACCCGGTACGTTACCGCTCTCTGCAGCCTTTCGCGTTGTCCCTGCTGCGGCTGCAGCCTGGGCTGCCCATTGCTTAGATTCCTCTGAGTAGTTTTCGACCTGTGCGGACGCGGAGGTGTCAGAAAGTAACCCTTTCAGCTGTCGTCCCTTCTTTGCTCACCTTGATGTCATTCAATCCGAGCTCCTCATCCTGCTCCCAACTCCGCTTGTACACATCCACAATGATCTGCTCGTCCTCATCCGGCGCGTACGGATTCTGAATGTAAGAGTTGCTGAGCGGGTCGTCGAGAATGACGGTGAAAGGCACATTGCTCGCGGACATTACGCCCTTGAGCTTGCCGAGGAAAGTCTCGAATGCTGAGCGATCGTCTAGCCGCGCCGCGTCGCCGGACGCCATGACCTTGTCGGAAAGCTCGTCATACACCTGCTGCAGCAGGCCTTCCAGCGTCGTGAACCGTCCGCCGAGCGTGCCAGGTGCGAGGTGCAGGTCGATCTCGGGGATTTCCAGCCCAGCGGTCTCACTCTTCAGCACGTCGCGACTAAGGTCCTCTGCGTCGTTGACGGTTAGCGCGAGCTTGCGCCCGGTCTCCGAGATCGCGCCGCCTGACTTCACCTCGTTGTCCCTGTACCCACAGCGATCGCAGTTGGTCGACATGATTAGGATATCCTTGAAGTACGGGATGTTGACCTTCTTCATCAGCGTTTGTAGTGGTGCGGTGCAAGAGGAGCACGTCCCCGGGAATGCGTAAATCTCCTCATTCTCGTGCTCCGTTTCGCCCGCAGTCTTACTGAAGCCAGTCACTGCTTCCGGTGCGTCTCCATCCGTCTGCATCGCAGCATCTCCATCGCTAGCACTCTCCCCAGCACTAAGGCCAAGCAGCTCGTTCTGCTTCTTTGTGCGCGGGTACTCGCGCTTGCTCCACTTGTTGTCGTTCACGCCTCGTCCTCGGACCTCGCCAAGGAATTCAATGAAGCTGTTTCCAGAAGGATCGTCGAGTCGCAGGCTGAATGGCAGGAAGGTTCGGTTCGGGTCGCTAATAGACGATGGTACAGCTCCCACAGGTCCGTGCGATTTGGTCCCGGCGGCCCCTGATGACCCTACATCTGCACCAGGCTGAATTTCCGCATGCGAAGGCTCCGCTTCGCCAATGATCACTCGCATACGTTTGCACAGCTCCTCAATCTTCTTGTACGCCGGCGGGTCCATATGCTTCCGCAACGGCTGGTCCAGCTCGAGGTCGCGCAACGTGTCGGAAATGACACCCTCCAATGTGGTCAATTGGCCGCGCTTCGCCGGAATCTCGATCGCTAACTCAGGGATACTCATGGTGGCAAAAGATGACTTGACTAGCTGGCGGTCCAAATCGCCGGGTTGAGTGACGTGCACTGTGTAAATGACTCCCTTTTCTGCTCAGTCAACAATGCGGCGACAGGCAAGGAAGTCAGTAAATTCCATATTGGCTCAACAAGCGATGAAGGCCGCACCTTGTATTTCCCCAGCACTCTGTATCTCATTGTTCCTCTCCCCACAATGATCGCACTGAAAGCTGGCAATGATGACTTCCTTGAAGTAAGGGATGTACGTGAGCAACAGCCGCGTGGTGCCGTTTTCGTGACAGCGCATGCATAGAGATTCAATTTCTTCCACCATCTTCGGCTCGGCCTCAGAACCGCCACCACTGCCAGCTTGCTGCTCTGATGATCCCAATGCCCGCTCTTGTTGCTGAGAACGCATGGACGCATCTTGGCCATCTGCTTGTCGCACACCTGACCCCGAGCCGGAGTCTTCGACGACGTCGCCGATCGGTCGGAAAAACGGGTCGGGTGCGTTTTGAGCTGACATTCTTGGTGTAGCTCTCGAAGATCTTTGCGTCCGTAGGTTCTTCCTCAGCGCGCACACTACAACCAGGTTTGGGGTTGGTGGCAATGAGCAATGATGGCAAGCCCAACAAGATGTAAACAAAGATGACCGCATTGATATATCTCGAATCGTCAACTTTTTTGTTTCTAGCATCAGCGGAACACAGCATTGAGCAGTGCGAGCAGCGAAAAGGAGCGACTACACTCCTTGAGACTGAGCCACCAGAGACGGAGTCTTGAATCTTGACTCGCTCACATCCATCCTCTCCAGAATGTACACATCGCCTAGGCGCAAACAGGTTCTCCAGTGCCCTTTCAAACAGACCCGGCATCACCAGGCTTAGGTGTTGCTGAAAGTGGCAGTCCACCCGCTGCAGCCGTGAGTTCAGGCGTGAGCACGGAACGCCGACATTCTCACTCCGAGAGACGACGTTCAGTAGAGACGGCTGCAGTTGCACGTGTTCTTCCTTTCACATCGCTTGGAAGCCGGGGGGGGGGATGGCCTGGACGTGGCTCGGACACATCTTTCTCTGATATGGCGCACTGCAGTCGAAATCATGCAAACAAGAAGAATCATTAGCCTGGCGCGAAGCCAGAACCAGGATGGGGACAGTTCTTCCACAGCTGGACAGAGCTCCAGTCCAAGTAAGGAGCAAGAACAGGGTGAGTCTGGCCAGTCAATGTGTCTACAAGAGCGGGAGGCACCGAAAGCTGCAGTGATGAGTGGCGGGGATAAGGGAGGAAGACCTGAATGCCAACAGGTTGAGGAAGGGCGGGTCCTAGCGCATGCTACGCAAGCGGTGCTGAGCTCCGGTGTCGACGCGCATACCAAGCTGAGCCGCAAAATGTCAGCCCAAACTTTATCAGAAAATGAAGCAGATGAATCCATCGAGCGATCCAAAAGCCTGCTGGACCCCATCTCTGACGTAAAAGGCAAGAGTAAGCATGAAAAGTTGAGCGAGCCACCCTCCACGGCAGTTGACTCTCCGGCGCCGGACGCACCTTCCACTTTAGATGCTTTTACGAACGTATCTGCGTCTGACATTCCATTCAAGTCGTCTCAAACGCCACAGTTAGCAACTCTCACTCCACCGAGTGTGGTAGAGCTTGAAACGTGCGCAAAAGGATTTGGCATGCACTCCATGGACAGACCTGGGCCTAGCTCTGGCCTCGTAAAGCAAGCTGTGCTCGGCGGTGCTGCTCAAACAAATGCTTCAGGGCCGATCTCAACGGTTGCCCCTAATCCACCTACGCATCCCTCACTTGAGACACCTCCTGCTGATCAGCAGCCCACGCAAGAGGAAGAACCAGAGATCCACATCAAGGGCAAAGGAAATATCACCGACTCGGCTTCCACCACTGCGGGTGCTTCTGTTCAACCATCACCCGCAGCCATTGGTAGCTCGGCCACGACTCCAGCAACCGGCGTGGCGATGCCTATGTTTTCGCATGCGAATGATGGACATGCGCTGAACGACATAGCCATTAATGTCGAGGAAGAGGGCGAGCCTCTGCGTACTTCGGAAACACAGTGGTGGATCTGCCTTCGCGACCTTGAGTTTGCCCCTTCTGTGATGCATGCCGGTTACACAGTCATGGAAGAGCGGTCGAGGCGCGGGCGAAGCGTCTCCTTCTTGCTGCGGCTGACCGACTACCTTCGACTACCGATCAATGTCACTTCGGCCGCATGCATTTTCTTCCATCGTTTCTTCATGCGCCAGTGCATGACGCCAGCAAACGGATCGAACATTAAGGTTGGGAAAAGCTTCATGCCGCAATGTGTCGCTGCAGCCTGCGTCTTTCTGGCTTGCAAGACGGAGGAATCTCCTCGCAAGGTCGTCCACGTCATCGAAGCTGCCGTGGCCGCAAGTGATCGAACGGAAGAAGGCAGAGAGGCCTTCGAATGTAGGGACTATGCCAAGCGCTTCGGGCGCGCTCGCAGACGCAAGGACACCGGTGAAATCTACGACTATCGGCTTGTGATCGATGAGGAGGAAGTTGCGCGTGATGCTTTGCGCCCCGGCGTCAAGGGCGCAGCCCAGCGCGACGATCGGTTGTGGGGTCCAGTCCGATGGAAGCAGAATATTCTTACGACCGAGATGTGGCTCGCTCAAGCGCTCTGCTTCGATTTCATCGTCTTTCACCCGCATGAATATTTGATCATCATGGCCAGGGAGCTAAATTTTAGCAACAAAATTTTCTGGTCGGCCTGGTTTATTCTGGTCGATTGGTAAGTGGCAGCACAACCCCATCATTCGGATTCCGGTCTCTGACAACTACTCGCCTCATTCCCATTTTGCAACAGCTTTAGAGATCCGATCCTGATTGCTTTCCAACGGACCGTACTGGTAGCAGCTGCGTACAAACTTGGTTGCGACCGATGGGAGATTTCGCCATCACACCTTGACAAGCATGTCCAAAGTATGGAGGTGGATGACGATTTGCAAGAGACTCAGAAGCAGAGCAGTAGCTGGACTTGGCTTAATGCTTTCGGTGTCAGCGAGTTCGAAGTCGCCGAAGCCGCTAGAGCGATTGAGGATATGCAAGCCATCCATGCGGACATGACGATTCCGGTGGAGGAAAGCCTGAAGGCGCGGATCCCAGAAATGCTGAGGAGGGAAGTGCAGCGCCAGAATCGTTCGGTCGCAGCATGCTTCCCAGATGCTGTCTCAAAGCCGTCCGCCCTTCGTACATGGAAGGCCTGCAATGCACCAACCCCGCCATCTCTACCCGGTCCTCCCCTTCCGCTCGGTCCAGCGCCCGCAGGAAACGGCCGCACTCCATCATACATGCCTGGCTCACTGCCATCTCAACCCTCGGCCTCGCGCATTCAGCAAAATGGAGCGACTGTAGCACCTCCGCCATCGGCGGTGAGCCGGCAAGACCTAGGCCAGCCTACACGAAGTCGAGATTATGCTCGTGAAAGATCACCGAGGCGACATGACTTCGGCACAGATCCTCATCCTGCTTCTAGACAGGAAGAAGACCATCCACTCAGACAGCAGGATGCTGCGCAGCCCTCGAAGCGCTCAGACGGCTATGAATTTCGGTCTTCCAAGCCTTCGGGTAAAGAGCCAGAGTTAAGTGCAGAGCTAGCTCATTTTTCTCATCAGCCTGACTGGAAGCCTTCTTCCTTCGCGAACCCCCCGCAGCTCGAGCCAGAAAGCTCACACGCTGCGTCCCAGCAGCCTGAGTGGCGGCCTCGCGGCTCTTTCGGTTCAAACCAGCCTCAGCATCCATGCATGGATGGCTCATTTTCCAACGTTTCTCCCGCTCGTGGGAACGCCAATCACTTCCGAAATCCGCACTCTTCATTTCCTGAAAGTCAAGGCCGCCCTTTCGATGGGCCTGTTACCGTTTCAAGGCATCCTTTCCAGCATGCAGATTCAGTTTGGGTGCACACAAATTGGGACGCCTTGCTCGAGCGCAGAACCGAAACCCAGCTCAAGCTGGACGTCCAGCAACATCTGAATCAATTCGGGCATGTCGTGTCGTCAAAACTTATTCATCAAACGGAGAGGGAGGCTTGGGACGGCCCGCCGGTCGAGACCCTTAAAGGAATTCTTGTTGAATTTCGTGTGAGTACCTGCTGCATTCTAACGCGATCATGACTGCGCACGATTTTGATTCCGTCTACGGCGCATAGACTGCCGAAATAGCCAGTGAGGTACTGCAGTCCTTTTCGCCCCAAGGGGCATCCTATACAAATCGTAGGCTATTTCATGGTACGTGAAAAGGCTTCCAAAACGTCTGCTATGAGCTTACCTGTGCGATGCGATGCATTTCTGCAGATTGCATGCCTCGACTTGAATACTCACGCAAAAGCCCTGAGATGCTCCACGTCAGCGGCTTAGGCAATGTCAGCAAAAGAGAGTTCGAAAGTCCGGCCCACTTCGACGAGGAGGTAGCCACCTTTTTTGGCGGTCCTTCGTGTGTCAGATCCGTCCGTGGGCTGTGGGAGTTCAAGGCTTCACCCCGCCTCAAGGGCATCTATTTTGATTTTGATGTGAGTAATGAAGCACGGAACATTTGCGTCCTTGGGCTGCAAATTGATCATTCTGTTGTGTATGTTGCGAATGCAGTCACCTCAGACCGCCAGAGAGGTCTGTGCCAGGGGAAACGGCCTAGAGTTTGAAGGTGAGTATGAATAAAGTCATTTTCGCTGCTCATAAGCTCAATTCTGATCGGGGCGATTATCAGGACAACGCCTTCGGCTGGAGTTCAAAGGGACTGGTCCAACAGCAGCTCCTAACCCAGGCTTACTTGGCGGCTCAGTAGCTGCGCCAGGTCTTGGAGGTAGACAGTCATTCCGGAAAATACGATTTGATGCTCCACAAAAGGTGGTAAACCTGCGCTTCATTTCGCCTCCCGATGGGGGTGAATTCGATGTTAGGGATCTCTCGCCATTCAACACAGCTGCAGAACCTGATGGACGTTACCACGTTTCAAAACTTGTGAGTTCGGCTCGAAGGTCTCGAGGAGAACACTCTGCTTGCTAACATGCCAAGTGTTGCTTGGGTGACTGCCGCAGCTGTGTGAGAGAATCGCATCAAAGTGGGGCCCAGTTGAGCGGGTCGAAGTCAACCGGAGCGATTGGACCCATCGCGATTGTTTTGATGTCCACATGCAGTCCCGAGAAGATGGACCACGGCTGCTGCAAGTGCGTGCATCCGACCGCTGTCGGCCATCTGCGAGCAACCATGGAGGACAACTTTACTGATTATGTTGCACTTCACCGCCAGGCGCTAGATCGTCTGCCGCTAGAGAGCGGTTTGAGAGTTACCAAAGCACCAGCCATACCTAGCCACCCTCCACGCACACGTTGACCCTGTGAGCCTTTTTTTTTACAAAAGCCGACAGGCATGGGTCTGCGTTGCGCCTTTCTGCATGCACTGGTCGATCCGGCCTTCCATCACGCTAACCCCCAATCACGAGCAAATGTCCGCAACATCATCTGTACACCCGCCATGCAGATCTCTGAATTCTCATTTGGTTTGAATAGAGAATATATACCCTAGGAAGACTCTCGGTCTCAGCCATCATTTGCACCACTCGAGGAAGAGCAACAAGGCTTCCCCAACTGTATCATAGCCGCGTGCATTCATAGCCACGAATAGAGCATTAACATAACATCCAGGCAAGATCATGGAGAAGTCTGAATGGATTTACGGAATGTGGATGATACCAGACGCTTGTAAAACGCGTCTCCTCAACGTCATAGCCTGCCGCTGACGATGACAACGGCGGTGCCCCTTTTGAATAGGCGAAGTCACACATCGGTGTTCCTATATCGCTTGCGTGGGCTCTGGTTATCATAAACAACCATCAATATCTCAACGACGAACCATCATCGCTTGAAGGAGGTTGCCGTTACCCTTGTAAGCGTACAGAGATCCTTCTGAACTCCATCCTTAACCCAAACAAAGATTTCCCCGACGAGCTGTCAAGATGGCACGCAAATCACTCTCGCTTTTCGCTGCGCTCGTGCTCCTCTCCAACGGCGTCGCCAACTCGGCACCCACGGATGGCTTGAGCCAGCTGGTCCTGGGCAACACTCAGGAGGCGCCAATCAAAGTGATCGCCGCGCCATTACCGAGTGGCAACCGCGAGGGAGACTTCATCGACGTGCTTCAAGCGCAGGCGGAGGCCGCGGGGGTCAAGATCGACCTTGGCTTGGATCACATCGCACAAAAGGCAAATGAGGGCTCGCACCGAACCCACCAGGTCGCAGCTGAAGCAGGGAAGGAGTGGGTCTCAGTGCTGCCTGATGGCGACATTGAGGATATCTCCGACACGGTGACTGAATCATCTCTTGCTGCGGAGATGTACGCCGACCTTAATTCTAACAATCACATGCCGTGGAGCTTCAAGCTGTCCAACCCTTCCAGCACGGCTGAGACCAAGGGCGAACCTGGTAGGGGGTGGATCTGGAAGAGCTGTGGTATGGATGCGGACGCTGTCAGAGTCGACAGCATTGATGTTACCCCCGATCCACCAAAACCTGGCCGCAACATGACTGTAAGGGGTACAGGTGTTGTCAGGTCTCTTATCGACGTGAGTCTACTGCTCAGGTTATGTCCTTCTTCCTTTATGTACGAGGCTGCTGACAAGTGAGCATTCTTTTGGCGTTGGAACATGAAGGAGGGAAGCTATGTGGACGTAGTAGTCAAGATCGGCCTCATCAAGCTGCTCTCACGCCGCTTTGACCTCTGCGAGGAAGCCAAGAATGCAAACGCCCAGGTACAATGCCCCATCAAGCCCGGCACGTACGACATTGAGCAGACCGTCGCGCTTCCACGCGAGATTCCGCCTGCCAAGTTCAACGTGCACATCACCGGTGCCACCCAAGCCGAAGAGGACCTCATGTGCCTCGATCTTAGCATCAACTTCATGCATATCTGAGCCGTCAATACCATTGGTCAGATCGAAACCCTACACCCCGATTCCTCTCAACATGTAGCTCACCCGGCAGCCCTAACTTGTAGACCCGTCGTTCACGTTGTAATTGTAGACTCAACGACTTGATGTCAAGAAACGAGGCTACTCCATGAATTTCTCAAGTGCGGGTTCTGCGCGCGGGGTATACGCATTTAATAACGCTTGAGGCGGTACGAGCAATGTCGGTTCCGACGGAGAGCGTTTTGCCTGTCTGTATGACTCGGGCATTGCCTCCCACATGCAGTGTATCATTTTTGCCAGCAGCATGTCGCGATTGATTCCCAGTCCGTCAGACCAGGCCGTCTTAGGGCATTCACCCGTAGGCCACTCACGGGTTTCCCGAGAGACTCCAAGCGCCCCAAAGAAGGTCCTGTTCTTTTCGACGGATCAACCCTGCGGTACGATTGCCGCATCTGCGACGGAAGGTAAGGATCTCGCTGCCCTGTCACGGGGTCGATGCAAGGCACTGAGCAGCGCAGGTACCTTTCCATGATATATATATATATATATTGCCTTTCTCTTTGCTTCTAGCCCAAGGCTGGAATAGACGCCGCGTTGGACGCCTCCTTGTCTGTCACTTGTCTTGCGGCGGCAAGAAAAATCGTATTTGTGGCAAGCCATCCTCTTCGAAGCCTTGCAAGAGATTCCAATCAATGGAATCGACCACAATGTTGAGGCGGAAGCGTGTGACTTCAAAGATTTTCGATGCATTCAGCTGCGAAAAAAGAAAGATTGGGAAAGGCCTCAAAGTACTGTTCCCCCAACTGTTGCATTACACTCACAGTTTCAATACTGACTATCCACTGCACCAGGGACTTTGTGCTAGATAATTGTTATTACCTCCTTCCCCTTTTCTCTATCAACAGTACCATTCGCCAAGCTTGGGTAGACGCTGGCAACAGTCGACAGTCGGACGTGCAGCACCGATGCCTCCGAAGCCAGCATGAAGGGGTAAAGGTCCTGAGACTTGACCGTTCCCTCTTATCATTTCTTCCGATGGAGTTGATTGCCTCTGGGTCATCTGGTTTTAGCGTCCCTTTCCTTGTCACTTTTGGACATGGGGAAAGCGGGCTTGCTCAAAAATTAGTCGAGGACCGCGTATGCTTCAGATGAGACGGCATGGCCTTGCTGATCGCGTCGGCCTATATGTGGGTCCCATCGACGACCTTACACATGCTGATGAATTCGGGGTTTGCATTGAGCGGAGTAGATACAATCGCTGCACTTCGTTCCCCTGCTTTCGACCGGGGTCATCAGCGGCAGCTCATTTTTCTCCCCGTCGATGCACGGCGTGATGGTGACGATAGCATGTAAGTCGCGCGCGATGCAGAAATTCTTCGTGAGTGCAGACGACCAGCCATGTTTTGTCGTACTTTAAGCCTGCCTTTTCGTCGTTGGAGGTCTTTAGGATGGCCTCTCGGCATGATTTCAGCGGGTGGACATACATCGCTTTCATGACGATGGACTTGTGAACGTTTGACGATGCGGTCGAAGGAACTGATGCAGATGAGCCTTGCAGCGAGGACTTGAAGAATTTAATGACACCCGATGCGATCTGCTAGAGAGACCGGTTGAATTTGATGCGTGATTGCGCTGCCTTCTGCTAGATGATATGGCTGAAGAGATGCGCAACTTGCCACCGGTGCGATTAATATAAGCCGACGCCGAGCCTGATGAGCTTGTGATCTGCGCTCGATCAAACAGTGATTTTCCTTTCATTTACGCATGCGCCTGGATGGAATTTTCTGCTAAAATCTGCAAAGGGAACGGTGGCGCAACGCTTCTCGCTTCATAACGGCTTGCATTCAGGTGCCATCCAAGTCTGGAAAAGAGTGGGTGACCAAAGGTCAACCAGTCGTGTCTGTCGGCCAAGCTGTAGTAACTTTTGCCTCAGCCGACTCGGAGGCTCCGTCTCTCGTCTTTGCACTCGCAGGCAAGGATTCCCATTTCGAAGACCCCACGATGTCGTCATCATCTCAGACGAACAGAAGGAGATACAAGCTGGTTTTCGGATAGGGTATTGATGTTTGAATCCGACCGCAGGCGCTTTCCATGAAACGACTTTTGTATGGCATCAAGCAGCAATATTAATCCTGATTACTTAGTTCCGTCGCCCGATCCGCTTCTGCAGCTCTCAGCGGGCTTGCGCCGGGTTACTGCTACCACCGTCAACGCGTCTCAATGCATCAAACGTACGCTCACCTTTTGAAGTGGGCTACGACGGTATTCAAGAGTCTTACAGGAGCTTGCTTGTCCTTATCATCGTATTAGAATTTCGCGAAATTCATGACTTTTTGAAGCGCATATGTCCTTCAAGCTTCAAACAGGAAGAAAGATGGGTTAATTATTTCTCGAGTTCCCATGTGATATTCGCCCCGACCTGACAAGAAGCGAAACCAGCTCAATATCACCATCGATAGATACTTGAAGCACTGAAAGGGGGTATGCATTTCCTTCGCTGTGACTGAGCAAGACAACAGCATGTTGCCGATACTCGACCAACTGAATTCTTGGTCTGAATGACTGCATGGAGGCTATAAATGGCCGGGGATGAAAGCAAACGACATGCATCTTAGTTTTCCGAGATCAAAGCATCCGTCACCCTTCCCCCAGCGTACTCCATATCGCCGAGCTCCTTCTAATTCCCTTTCCCAGAAAAGACGCCATCAAGCCTCGAGACAGTCGATCCCACCTTGGTGGGGACTGCCAAGAACATTCATGTCGGCTCGACCAAGTCGTCGACACCTGCTTCCGCGTCTGGCTTTCTGCAGAAAATGAAATAGCCCCCACCGTTGGGCTACTCCTTCTCGAAACACGGTGCGAGCCTACTACCCTCACTAATGCTGATCCTTTTCATTAACGCCGGAGCTTCCGTGACGGCTTTCTGCCATACGAAGAAACTACGTCATTGTGGCTCGCGTCATGGTTGTTGGCGCCACGGCGGCCGCCATGGCATCGTTCATCTTCCAAAGGTCTCTCCGAGCGTTCAAGTTAGTCGGAAAAGGAGGGGAGCGCAGCCCATTGCCTGAAGCTCTGCGGTGGGCTATTCTCGCTGAGTAAACAGGCGCCAGCTGTTGTCAGCCCTTTGACGCGTTTCAGTGAAAGGTGGGCATCCCTGAATCATACTAGGCAGTATGCATGCTTCACAAAGGGATGTTTTGCTCTGTATTCAGTTCCGCTTCGGCATTCTCCTTGTCACGACCCTTTTCGTCAACGCTTGCGCCTCCAATTCACTCATGGGCTGCTTTCGGTTGCTCTTCCTGACCCCCCAGCATTCTTTCGAAAAGTTGGAATCCAGATGGACTTGACCTCTGTGCTCACCATGCTCGGCCGTCAGTACCCTTTCCACTTGGGATACGTCTCGGCGGGTACTCCCCTGCGACCTGGAGGATACGTCTGGAAAACTTTTGTCTCTGTTGATGGCATAGGTGGCGCCGCCTTCCGCGCCAGGCTCGGCGAGCGGTACTGAGCCAGCGCGCCCTTCCGGACGCGGTGTCGCCAACTGTGCTTACTGATGGACTTTAACGCCATCGCTTTGTTCGGCCTGAAGGTTGGCGTCACCTTCTCAGAAGCGAGCGAAGTTATCGTGTATGATGCAAGCAGGGCCATTGCTTTCCTCTGGGAGGGGGTCGGTTGGGGGTCGGTGTCCCTTTTGTACAATTAGCTCTGGTGAAGGAGCATGACTGGTTCCGCCAGTTAAAATGACCTTGCGTCCTGCAAAAGTGTAGTCGGACGTTCTCGCTATAACCAGAGCGCTGGTGTGCCATGCGCAAGATGAGCTCACGGCCTAGTCAGCGGTTCTCAATGGATTTCGGTGAATTGAGGTGTGAGGTATGCAAAACGGAACTGTGTCTCTGCGACGCGCATTTTGCATAAGCGAGAGAAAACAAGTGCTTGAGACTTGCAAACCTATTCGTTCTGTCGGGCGCGCCTTGATGCATCCGAACAAAGTAAAGTACACAGTTGGATGAGGCAAAAGCGCTGCATGAGGGGCAGGTGGACATCCGCCAGAAGCCAGAGCAACATGGCATCAAGCGCGGCACGCGTGATGAAGAGGGTGGAATCTGATGTGCTTCGATTGTTTCCTTTACTGCCGAAGCTGCAATTGGCTCTGCTCGTGACGGACTCGGACAGGATTCAAAGCTACTGCTTGGCTGGCAAGCCAATATGCAGGCTCCGGTGTGCCATCATATGGCTGAGATAGCCGTTAGTGCACGTTCAGCGTTGCTCAATTTGGCGGCGCCTGCATTGATCGTTCGTTCCACCCCCATCTATGGAGAATTGAGAGAGTCAAAGTCGAGCAAATCACACTTGCTTGCTGAAGCGAGCGAGGTGGTAATTGATTGTTGGCTTTGAGACCGCTTGCTTCTTCGCCTGTGAGACGCAATCCCCGGGGGAAGGATCAGTGTGTACTTCAGCCAAGACTCCTTCGCTGCCTGCGCCCCAAAAAGAAAAGATTACCTTGGTTCGCATGCACGCCTGCAGAGCCCTCGCACTCTCGGCACATTGTCCTTGGCTTGAGAGGTCATTGTAGCTTGCCCAGCATGCGAGCATAGTGGCAAACTCAGCGGCGCAGGCCGCCGTTCGCACCTCCTTCTTCGGCCGCACTTTGAGCTTGTTAATCTTCATGATGCGCCTTATCTGCCTTGCCGCCAGCTTCGCTGCGCTACGTGCTGCCTGGAGATTTGGAGAGCGCCTTAAAAGGTGAAGGTTGGATTTGCCAAAGGAGTGAGAAAGTATGGTGCATTGAGAATGTCTTTATATACATTAAAGGCGCGCAGGAGAGAGGGGGATTCCGCCCGAAAAATTTGGTGCAGTCGCTCAAGAAGATCTTCTAATAGCATGTCTTTCTGTAGTCCACAACACACCGATAGTGATACCTTCTTGTCATCAGCGCAGCGCTGGTTTTGACAAGCAATTTCTTGCACGTAACTCCTACCTCGAAGCACAGTGCCATCATGTCGCTCATCGCTTCCTCTTCATCGGCGCTGAACCTCGCCTTCCCGCCCTCGGTCGGCGCCGGCGCCCAGCACTCGCGCTCGCTTTCCAGCGTCTCGGTCCATCCCGTCGCACTCTTCAGCATCCTTGACCACTACCTGCGGCGACGTGCAGATGCCGAGGACGCTCGTGTGATCGGCACGTTGCTTGGAACCCGTACAGAGTCCGAGGTGGAGATCCGGTCCGCTTTTGCTGTCCCGCATGATGAGACGGAAGATCAGGTTTCCGTGGAGATCGAATACCACAGGAGCATGCTAGAGTTGCACACCCGAGCGAACCCCAACGAGGTTGTTGTTGGCTGGTATGCGACTGGTTCGGACCTCAACTCATACTCAGCTCTCATTCAGGACTTTTACAGCAAGGAGACAGCCCCTCAGCAGGCAGTGCACTTGACCATGAACACCGACTTGCAAGATGAAAACTTGGGTGTCAGGGCATGGGTCTCGTGAGTGACGACATAATGTTCATAGCTGCTCCAATTGAAGCTCATTTTTTCTCTCGCAATTTCTCCACAGGTCGCCAATTGGACTTACACCAAAGGCATCCTCCACTGCTTTCCTTCCACTCCCTGTCAACCTCTTCTACTCTCCATCGGAGCGACCAGCGCTTTCGATGCTGGCGTCGCAGACCTCCACGCCCATGTCCGACATGGACGCTCTCGCTGCTTCCCTCAAGCAGGTGCAAGCTCAGCTCGATCGAGTGCTTACGTACGTGCGGCAAGTCATCAGCGGCGAGAGACGGGGGGATCCGGCTATCGGGCGGTTCATCCTGGATGCGATCAGCAAGGTGCCCGTGGGCAGTGCCACAAATGAGAATGGGGAGAGCAAGCTCGAGGAGCTGTTCAACACTCACCTACAAGTCAGTGGGAACCACGCGGGCGAACATATGTGCCGTAAAGATGCAAAGACACTGACTTCTTCCTCCATCTTAAGGACATTCTCATGGTCTCCTACTTGGCGAACGTCGTGCGCGGTCAGGCCGAAATCTCGTCGCGATTAACGCTGCTAACTGCTTAATCGCATGGCCAGCACACATAGGCACGAGCAAAAGAGTGACATAGCCGACTGTCGCTCCTTAACGGTTTTCCTCCGCCTGGAAGGTACTCATGTATTACTAGACTCCTACAAACGATCACTACACTGTCGCCATTTGTAGACAGCAATCCATGCTAAAGCTGATGCCCTGCTGGCGGGGGTATACATTTCATCGGAATACGTGATTCTCAGACGTGGTTAGTACGATAAAGCGCGTGGTATTATCTGTTCGTTGTAGAGATATCAGCCGCACGTAAGACGATGATGCACAGATAGACGAAAAGGCGCAGTCAACGTACTGTGAGCGTCCTGTATATCAGACCGTGCTACTTGCACCCCTAGACGCGCCGCTGCAAACTCAGATGCGATCGCGGCGCGGATCCCTTCCGTTCCCGCTCTTTCCTTCACGCCTTCAGCGTCAACTTTCGAATCCACGCCTGCGTCTGCTTCATGTTTGCCGTAGGAATCCACTCGGATATCAGCGCCCAAAAGCAGCTTCGATGCAGCCAGTGCTGTGGATGCAACATGGATGCGCTTAGCGTTGGGCAAATACTTTGAGAGAAATGTCTTGCACTGTCCAAGAGCCTGTGTCAAGTAGATGTGGGATTGATCACACGTGAGGGTGCCAAGCGTGAATTGGGTGCATAAGCGACATATTGAGACGCTGGTATAATACTCAGACTCACTTGCTCATGCGAGGCGACCTCTGAGATTTCCTCCAAGGCCGCGCAAGGAAGTATATCCTCCTCGTCAGATATATCCTCGCCATTCCCATTGGCAGTCGTTACAAATAGTTCTGCTGTATCATCCGATTTGCTAGATGTGGCGGTGTAGCCTCCAGGAGAGTGGATCCTTTGCCTCATTGAAGCTTTTTCATGCTCTAAGTCCTGCATATATTTCTTTCGCAGGTATGTTGCATCCATTGGCGACAGCAACAGGGCATGTCGCACTGACAGAGTGGCCCCGCTGACGATCCGAATGGACAGCGGCGCCGAGCCGCACTTCAAGTCGAATACCAAGTCTTCATTTTGAGACGCAGCGCTGAAAGGTGATCCACCGTTCGCTGGTGCGCTCTCGTCTTCTATCGAACTCTGCGACGACACTGACGATGTGCTTGGTTCCGGTCGGGGTCGCACAGCCACAGGAACTTCCTTGAGATATAGGCAGTCCATCGTCTCCTTAACGGGTCCATAGAAGCTGTTCTCGATCGGTAGCACGACATATTGCTCTTCCGGCGCGGCGGCCATAGATGGTGTGTCCTCATCTTTGTCAAATGTGAGAGCTCCCTGCATGGCCGCAGACAACGAGTCGAATGCGGCGCGGATGTTCGGATACGCCTGGTATCGAATATCGACTGAACTTACTTGCGAAAATGATGCGGTCGCTGCCTGATGTGAAAAGGTACCTTCAGGGCCCAAGTAGGCTACGGCAATCGACCTTTTCGATCTTGAGGTCTTGTCTCCGCTGTTGCCTTCCACATTCTCCGCTACAGTCTCTTTCGTCGCTTCACTTTTGCACGCCTCGTCCACGCTATCCGTTGGTTTGATCTTCTGTGCCATGTCTTCTGCTTAATATTTCCGATGTTCGCGCCACCAGCACGAGGGCCCTTGAAGCCTTGGCGCTTGACGTCCTTCAGCGAAGGTAGAAACACAATCGTTTACCAAGCCCAAATCATTCGTTGTTCATCCTCCATCCATCTTACCTCCCAGAGTGCAGTTCACACATTGTCTATTCCATTTCCATTCCATGCTGTGCTTGGCTCAGGGGAGACGAACCCATATATATATATATATACGAGGTACGACCATACAGCCAGCACTGGTTGTTATTGGGCATCAACACCTGGTCATCCGTAGGGCCAGGCATCCAATACCATCGCAACAAGAGCTTGCATCTACTACAGAAAATCACCCCATGAAAATTTGGCAGGAATCGCAAGTACACGGGGCTTGCGCGGTCGTCCGACCCACCCGTTGGTCGAAGCGCCTCGTCGCAGCGTCGAAGGGGTTTCTGTTGGGCACCGATTGCCTTCCCAGCATTTTCTTTTACTGAGCTCGGGACAGTTAAGTTTATGGGCAATGTTCCTCCGCTCGAGTGATCTGTCAGAATTCTGCACGCCACACGGGTGATACACGAATGCCACGAGATTAACCGTCACCGGGTACTCAGATAATACCACCTTTCCTTAAAGAGAAGCTCGTACATGTTCATTCAAACGATAGACTTCTGTGTGCCCCTGTGCAAGAGATGGAGTCAGAAAAATGCGGCTCAGACCTAGAATCGTGACGCATCGTCTCCTCACTGGGCGTCAAATATATATTTATTTAACGACTAGGTCTCATGCCGATGCCTGCGCTTTGGGAGCCGACAAGCTTGTTGTTCGCTGGGTCGTCGACAACGGGGCAGCGCGCCAAATCGCGAATGACTCATGAGGTGTCGTCGTTGAGCAACTAACAGCTACACTTCCTGGTGGACACATGCAGATGCTGAGAAGTCAGTCTTTCTCGATGGGATGAACCCAGCTTGAGTCGATGCCGATACTAGAATTGAGTGGACGATCCGCAAGTCTCAAGCTCGGAATGAAAGGCTACGACTTCAACACACAATTAATGTTGCTTGTATGTAGAAGGCTCCTCATGTTCTCTCCATCAGCGTTTTGCGTTTACAGCTTCTTCGGAAATAATCGAAATGCGAATGGAGCCCCCGAAAAGGTCATTGTACTGAACATCCGACAAAGTCAAGGTACTATATTTCATATTTCGAGCGCCCTTTGACTCTCTACGATACATAATGCGGACGCGACCTTTCGTGGTCTGCTTCAAGATGGTCCATCGCAAATTTGCCCGCTGATGACCCCCATGTCAACCTAGAGCGTCATTGTCACTGACATGTGTCCGGATGTTGTTGAAAGAGTGTAGTCTTTCACTACGTTCATTAATCGTCAAACTCAACAAGCGCATCTTGTTCGGGCTCATACGAGAACGAGGGAAGCTTGAAGATGAGACAAGGCAGCTGCTTATGTACATTCTCAGATGCGGACCGAGGCATTTGCCCTGTTCGCCAGCGCAACCTTGTGGATCTCTTCCTTCCTCTGCAGCACGCTGCTGTTCCCTTCGACGACAGCGATGACCTCTCTTGCTACCCTTGCACTGAGCTCTGCATCACCCCTCTTTTTGCTGGCCTCGAGGATGGAAACGATTGCTCGGCGCGTGCGCTGCTTTTCGTTGAGCGGCAGCGGCACTTGGACCTGCTTGCCTCCTGATTTTGACGACTGCATGCGCACTAGCGGTGATGCGAGCTCGATGGCGGCGCTGAGGATGGGCAAAGGTGACGAGTTGGTTGCACGCATCAGATGGCCCAGGACGTCTGAGACTTGGCGCATCGCTTTGGCCTTCTTGCCATCTTTCGTTAGCAGACCGACGATTGTCGCGAGAAGCGGGTTCGTCGCTGGCGGGATGTTGTCTGGGGTGTAGCCTGGCCTTTTCTGAAGGTAAGGGTTGGAGAGAGGCTGCGCCAAGCGCTCGCTGGGCATTCGGACTGAATTTTGTTGTTGCCCGGGCGAAGGAGGAGAAGCACTACCGTTAGAGAGGCCTTGTACGCGGCCCGCAGCGGCCTGGCGTGCTTCGAACGTCCTTCGCCGAGCGCGAGTGGCCGAAGCTCCAGGTGAGAAGCTGGACGGTCGTACATCCTCCCCAGTCTTGTTTCCTAGCACTCGAGCAAGCTCTGCCGGCGTGCTGGAACTGGGAGAAGAAGGGCGATGAGCTCGTGCTGGCGATTCGGGCGACTCTGCGCCGAGTAAAGTGGAAGAGGTGATGCTTCTGGAGAAGCGCGAGGGGCAGATGCACTCCCAGGAAGGCCGGACGCTGTGCCGGGAGAGAAGCACACGCGATGTGCTCGCAATGGAAGAGGCCATTTCTGCACAGAGCCTGGTGGTGGCTGTAGCGCTGGTAAAGGATGATAACTTGCTTGTGGTGTGAAAAGACATACTTTGGGACTCAACCAGAAGAAAGTTATGTGAAGAGTATGGTGATCCAGGCGAGTCGCAAAACGAAAAGGAAGGTCACAGTTGGAACCAAGTCGAAGATGTTTAAATGTAGTTCAGGAGGATATGAACCAACCAGCTAAGCGAGGAATGAGGGGCCCGAGCGCGCACGCGCAGTCACTCAGTATCCACCGCGCCGACATCACCAACAACAGCACATCTCATCGCCCTTCCAAAGGCCACCCACCCTTCTTCTGTCATTCTTTCCTCGTGTTCGCTCTCGATACAAACTGTATGTTTACGTCGACCGCTTGTACGCGCCTCTTTTCAGATAAGACAGACATATCCACGATGGTAGGTGTTTTGGTTGCATGCTGTGCTCTCTGCGTGAACCATGCTTACGCTCTTTCGTCTATGCGTTCCGCGATCCACCACCTCTTCACGATTCGCACGATATCATCGTCCTTGCTCGTATTACTGTTCTTACTGATGGCTGCATCCACGCAGGCCGATGCAGAGTACAAGGAAGCCTTCGCGCTCTTCGACAAGAAGGGCAGCGGTACTGTCGCACGCGAGTCGCTCGGCGACTTGCTCCGCGCCCTCGGACAGAACCCAACGCAGGCGGAGGTTGGTGAACTCGCGGCGCAGTCGCCAAAAGAGAGTGAGTCGAGGATGCATGAACGCTCTCCGAAGGGGCTATGAACCTCAGTGAATAAGGAAGGGTGTGAGAGCGAATGGCAGTCGGTATACCCCTCGATAATTCGCCTTTACGGTATATGAGGCGCGAGCAGCACCTCGGCGCTCTAATACGCGGTGTACGCTGCGATGTCAATAAGGGGCGGGAGTGGATGGCTATTGAGGAAGCTCGGTGGATGCGCAGATAGGCGAGCTCTTTGCAAGTGAGGAAATGTTTATTCTTCCATGCGGCTGTCCGCAGCTGCCGTGTCTCTACGTCAGAAACACCCGAAATGTGAAGGCGGCGGGCGAAATTTATTTTGCAAAGCTTATCAATTAGCGGTTGGAAGCTGAAGAGACGAGTTGTATTCGCGATTGGGAGCTTAAACTGTGGGAACAAGTTGGAAGGGGAGCTAGGGCGCGGGGCGGATGCGGCTTTCAACGAAAGGCGGAAAGGCAACGTACACAGGATTGTGGGAAGAGTCCCGTGCATGGCATTGTCTACGTTGGGATGGAAATGCAAGCTGATCGATCAACCTCTGCGACTCTGGCACACAGTCGACTTCAACACCTTCCTCAATATCCTGCACCGGCCGAACGGCTTCAAGCCTGCAGGCACCCCGGAGGAGTTCATCCGCGGCTTCCAGGTATTCGACAAGGAAGGAAATGGGTACATTGGTGCGGGCGAGTTGCGATACGTGCTCACCAGCTTGGGCGAGAAGCTGAGCGATGAGGAAGTGGACGAGCTGCTCAAGGGCGTGCAGGTCGGCCCGTGAGTGTTAGACCCGAGAGGGCAAAGGAAAGCATGCACGCAGAGCTGTTGCTGATGCCCGATTGAATCGAATCTGCGCTGCGCTACACAGTGACGGAAATATCAACTACGAGCAGTTCGTACGCCAGATACTGAGCCAATAGACACCTGGCGTGGCATCAGATGGCGGGGGGTGCTCGCTTCCCTCTGCCCGCACACAGGCTGCCTGTTATCGTCAGACCCGTTGACTCGTCCAGGGAGGATCTCCAGACGGATCGATCGACCCGTGTCCGGCTGGCTGGGCTGGAATTCGCGTTCGGGCCCCAGTTCGAATGTGAAATGTAGTAGTATATCGTAATGACGCGCCTCCCTTGCACTGGTCTGTTCTGTTCCGTTCGGACCCCGGTGCTCTCTGGATGCCTTAACAGCCTCGAGTCAACTTTTCTCCGTCCGTTCCAGTCTCTCTCGGACACATGACGAGCACGAGCCAGAGGTAGTCGGCACAGCCTAGAGTCCGCCGTCCGACACAGGCTCTCCCCTCTTCGCCTTGCATTCCTATAGGGAAGAACGGAGAGAGTATTATATTTATCACACCTCTGATATTTAGGGTTGCGCCGCTGGTTGAACGATCAAGGGAAGCAGCAAGTGCGAGCAATCGATATCATGGAGTTTTATGGAAAGGATGATGAGCGTCGTAACCGAAAGGCGTTTGGCATGTGCCACTTGGAAGTATTGGATCCCAAAGAGCCAGCCGACAAACATAAAAATCGATCAATCCCGACTTGCATTGAGAGCTGCAAGTTCACATGAATTGTACCAAGTCTACCGGGTCTATACAAGGTAAGCACCAGGCCCTCGAGCACCTCGTCGCTGGTCCTTGGTTTGCTTTGCCATCCGTGGGACGTGGAGGAAGTTGCCAAGCCAGGCTGATACCCCCGGATGTCGCGGCTGGTCACATTTTGAGAGAAGAGGGTAGGGAAGGAGGAGACGTCTGATTCACTTCAGGTAAATATCTTGGAAAAGTCCACCCACACACTCCCTTCGATGGTTCTCATATTGCCCCATTGCTCAATGAATCGACCCGCGAACGAGCAACTCCCACCATTATTTAGTCCATCGCCAGACCGGGAAGGCTCCACATGACCGTATCTCCTCTGCCAATCACATCCATGGTGTCATCGCAAGGCTCGGTGGCCTCAGCCTATCATAGACGTGGGTGACTCTCCAATCACACTACTTGCCTTCAAATCTGCCAGCGATCAACATCCGCTAAATTCAATTGAACAAGCATTGCCGCCTGTGTGTTTGCATTGCGTCGCCACCAATCACTTTCCGGTCTTGATTTAATTCTTCTTGCCATCACCAAAGGCCACAAAGGCTGAACGCGAATAGGCTGGGCATCACAAGAGTATGTGTGAATCAGTGAGACTATGAAAGCAGACAGAACAAAGAGAATCGCATACAACCATACCCGGAGGGTGATGGCAGCCGCGAAGTTTCAAAGTGACAGGATGCTGGCTTTCGTGTTACTCGAGGGCTTCGTGGGAGGCGCCTTCTAGACTGATGCCGCAAAGAGGGTCATGGCAGTGACTTGTGCATGCCTAACGCCGGTGAGAATAGTTTAAGTCCGCCGAGAAGCGGGGCGTCGCGGACAGCTTGTAGCGCAGGCCGCGGCTATTCGCGGCGTGCTGACCCCATTGGATCCGTTCAGAGTAGATAAAAAAAATAGCCGATGGGGCTGGCGAAATCAGTATGTTGTTCGCAGGAGGAAGTTGTGCTCGCAAGCTGCAAGCCCGGCAAAAGGATGCGTGAAACCTCCTCTGAACCCTCCCCTATACACGAGTTTGAACTCACATCCGGCTAGACATCCGGAGCCGGCAGGCGGGTGGCGAGACCCGAGACTGTGAGTTGGGGTGGAGGATTGCCTGTCGCCCGTGGCTGTGCGTGGACTGCAACATGGAGCGTGGCGCAAAGTTGCGCCGCACTGCACCGCCCATACGAAGTGACATAGTTTCCATGCTAGCAAGCGTGTGTAGTACAAGTAGCACGCAAGCTGCTTTTGTTGCATACCCTAGAACCCTTGAGTGTAGATATATATATTAGACCGGCTCCACAGTCCACAGACTGGAGACACCAATGCTCTCGTCAATGCGTTCCACGTCCAGCTTGCTCTGTGACATCCGACTGAACCATAAGCAGCATCTGGCGCCGCTTTGCCTAATCCTCCATCCCTTCATCTCACCCTTTCGCCATGGCTGTTTCGCAAGGCCAGGCAGCCGAGCACCGGCCGATTCCCCAGCCCGCGGAGCGTTTCTTGACCAGTAACCTCACCGATATCCACTTCACCGAGAGCCTTCCCGACCTGGTCCGGCTCAGCGCGATTTACGGCCCTATTTACCAGCTTCATCTGCTCGACCAGCACACCGTCTTCCTTTCCAGTCATGAGCAAGTCGACCACGCCTGTGATGGGGGCAAGTTCGAGAAAGGTATCGGCGCCCCTTGCGCGAGGTGCGAAACTTCGCCGGCGACGGTCTTTTCACAGCCTTTGGAGATGCGCCGATCTGGAGTCTCGCTCATCGCATCCTATTTCCTGCCATTGGACCGCTGGCCATCCGCAAGATGCAGCCCATGATGGTGGACGTCATCAGTCAGATGCTTCTCCATTGGGAGCACCATGCTGGTCAGCCGTTCGAGGCTGCAGAGCAGTACACCAATCTTACCTTTGTGCTTATATCTACAGCACGCGCTAAAAGAAGGAAAGAACAATTCTGACCCTTTTCTTTCCCTTCTGTGCTTACGCTGCAATAGGACACAATCGCGTGGTGCACCTTCAAGTACCGCTTCAACAGCTTCCATTCGGCCACCCCACACCCATTCATCAGCACAATGGCCTCCTTGCTCAAAGGTAAGTGTGCCTGCTGAAGCCTTCACTCTGGACGGAGTCCCGCTAAAACGCCTGCCTGACCCGCTCCTCAGAATCTAGCGCGCGTGCCAAACGCCCGGGCATTCTCAAGAAGCTGATGTTCATGAGCGACGCCGAGTATACTCGCAACATCCAAGCCTTGCTCAAGCAGTGCGACGAAATCATTGAGGCCAGATGCAAGTACCCAGACCCTGATGCGCATGACTCGCTCAACAACATGTTCTTGGACCGTGACCCTTCGACGGGAGAAGCTTTGTCTGACGAGAACATCCGTTATCAAATGGTTACCTTTTTGTGAGTGCAGGTGGCAGTTTCACAAGAGGAGTAGATTATAGCTGACACTCTCTCCGGCTGCGGCGTGTGCTTGTATCTCCTCCAGGATCACCGGCCATGAGACCACCTCTGGCTTGCTCTCCTTCGCGACTTACTTTATGCTCAAGAACCCGGTCATTTTACGCAAAGCACGCGAGGAGGCGGAAAACGTGATTGGCGAATCGGGTGGCGACATGATGAAGATGAACGCAAACAAGCTCAAATATATTGACGCCATTCTCAAGGAGACCCTCCGCCTGTGCCCTTCTGCACCTGC